GAACCCAGAGGTACTTAACCATTGAGTCACGTTCCCAGTCCTTTTTTGTTGTTGTTGTTTGAGATAGTGTCTCACTAAGTGCTTAGGGCCTTCCTATAGGATCTGGCACTCTTTAAATATTTGGTTACTTTCTCAGTTTCTTCTATGGTTATTGGAGTTATGTCCTCTAAGGCAAATTATAGCAAATTCAGTTTTTAAAAAATGAATTTTTTTGTTTTTTACACTTATTTACCTAAAATTAGAAAATATTTTCTTCCTGCTTCTCTCCTTCATTTTCTAACATTCTTCTTCTTTTCTTTCTTTCTTTCTCTCTCATTTAAAATCTCTTGATTTTGTTAGTGGTAATTGTATTAGTACTTCAAAAGAGAGGTCTTGGCTATATTTTTACATTTTTTTTCTCCTTAATTAATCTGTTAATTCTGAAGGCTTCTATGCACCTCCACATCCATAGCATGTTGCCTGGTCTCTTCACTTTGCCTGGGGCCCTGTTCCTTATTTTCTATGACAATTCATGCACTGTTTTCCTCTCTGGCCACTTTCCGCAGATAAGCTATCACCTGATTTTAATGCATTTAGTTTTTCTCTGGCCCCTGCTTAGCCACATCCCATAGCTTCTAATATGTTTAATTTTTAGGAGTTTTTGGAAATCAAACTGTGGAAGGATTGAGAAGTGATAAGCTGGGAAACCAGGCTGGGAGAAGCCAATGGGGGACATTAAGGTAAGGGTGCCACTTGCAGAACAAGGCTACAGAGGATGCAGAGGTGAGAGCCACGCTGTCTGGGTCCTAGGGCTGCTATGACACCGTGGGCTGGGCTGCTTGTAAACAACAGATGTTTATCTCTTAGTTCTAGAGGCGAAAAAAATTCCAAGATCAAGATGCTGATGATTTGGTGTCTGGTGAGGACTTGCCTCTGGTTCACAGATGGTATCTCCTCACTGTGTCCTTGTGTGGCAGAAGGGATACAGCTAGCTCTGTGGGGGGAATTTTATAAGGGCACTCATCACATGAGGGGTCCACTTAGGTGATTTAATCTCTTTCCAAAGGCCCCACCTCCTAATGCATGGGTGGGAGATAGTTCAACATGGGACTCTGAAGGGTAGGGACACAAAAATTCAGACCACAGCAAGGACAGGGAAGCAAGAGAGCACTCTGTGGAAAAAAATATGTATTCGGGTAAATACAGGTAATGTTAGAGATAGGGAGAGGAAAAGCATTCATGGAGGTTGATTTTATGTGTCAGCTTGACTGGGCCATGGGGTGTCTGATTACTGGTCACACACTATTTTGCGTGTGTCTGTGAGGGTATTCCTGGATGAGATTCACATTGAAATGGGTATACTGAGTCATGAAAATCCCCCTTCCCAGTGTGGGTGAGCCTCATCCAATCAGTTGGGGCCCTGAGTAGAACAAAAAGACTGGCTGTCTTGCAAGTGAGAGGTAACTCCTGCTTTGAGCTGGGATTTGGGTTTTTCCTGCCTTCAGACTCAAACTGAACATCAGCTCTTCTCAGACCTCAAGGCGTCTTTGGACTAGATAACACCTTCCTCAGTCTCTCTCTTGCTGACAGTGAATCATGGGACTTTTCATCCTCCCTAATCATAATCATATGAGCCAATTCCTTGCAATAAATATGTCTGTCTGTTTATCTGTCTCTCTCTTCACCGTGTGCTACGAAGCTGAGCCCATAGGTGACAGCTTGGATTTCTGGTCCCTGCACTACTGATTTTTTTCCAAAGCAGCAGCAGCTTCCTTGCCTTCATTCTTTTAACCCTTCCAACATTGATGTAAGTTTCTGATTCCTTGCATTAAATCCCTTCCTGCAAAAAGGCCTTTGTTTTGGGACAAAACCTAATTGTTCTGAGCTGAATTGGACCCCCACAGTTTCATAGGTTGCAGTCCTAATATCCACTACCTTAGAGTGTGACTGTCTAGAGATAGGATCTTTAAAGAGGTGATTCAATTAAATAAGACCACAAGGGAGAGTCCTAATCCAATTTCTCTGGTGACCTTATTAGAAGAGGAAATTTGGACACACAAAGGCCAGAGGATGTGTGTGCCAGAGCATGTGAGGACACAGTGGGAAGGTTGCCATCTGCCAGCCAGAGAGTTTGGGTCAGAAGAAACCAACCCTGCCAAATCTTGACCTTGGATGTTTCGATGTTTCTCTTCCAGAATATAAATTGATGTTAAGTCATGCAAACTATGACATTTTTGGATGGCAGTCCCAGGAGACTACTATACTATTCTAAATATTAACTGGACTTTTGGAACTATAGACTTCCACATGGTCCTTCTGATTCCTAGGATTGAGAAAGTAGGGTTGTTGTTGGTGGTGGTGGGTTTCCTATATTTGAGTGACTTGAAAATCCATGCTGACTTTCTTGTGCAGAAGTTGTGGCTCTACAAGCACTATGTAAATTCTCCACTCCACTACTGGGCTCTGATCCACACCCGGGAGAAACAGGCACAACGTGTCGGCCATGCTGACCTTGTGTTCAGTTGTTCCTGCCTATCTACAAAGACAGCTGTTGTGTTCACACCCACCTTCAGCCAAGCCCAGGCCCTGACAGCTCTTCTCGGTTGCCTCTCTGCTGGACCTGTTCCTTGTGGGGAACAGTCATTCAGTAAGGGAGTCTGGAGGCTCCATCCAATTCTGCAGTCAGTTTTGAGAAAAAAAAAATTAAAAACAAAACCCAAAATAGAGCATGGGAGACGGGGGAGGGGAAGTTTGAAACAGGAACAGAAACCAGAACTGAATTCTAACGACCTATTGACCAAGAGCTCCTGAGGCACCCTTCCTCAGAATAGGGAGAGGACAAAAGGGCTTAACTGACCATGTTCCTGCTCTTCCCTAGCAGGAAGCACTTAACTAAGTTTTCTAACCTAGAGGACTAACTTATGGCCCCCAACACCTACCCTGAGCTCACTCCTTCCCTGAGAGGTGGATGATCACAAATAGGATCACAAATGAACACCAAGGACACATTAGCTGCCATGGCACTTTTATTTTAAAGGGTGACACATAGAGCAGGGCTTGCCACCCTCACCTGCGTCAGGCACAGGGATACCCATCTGAAGCAATTATTACCATCTGTTCCCGATGAGGAAATTATCTATCTGGAGTGACTTTCACAAAGTCACCCAATAAGTATGAACATAGCTGGACTGATTCCCACCCAGGCTTTGCTCTAAAATCAACATATTTACCCAGTGGTCATATTTCCTCCCTGAAATCATTCAAGAACTTAATCCATTGAATATTTCTAATGATGGAACTCTATTGGATCTATTGAGTTACTGCAAATACCACTGTCAAACGTGTCTGTCTGTCATATCTAACAGCTCTTCCCAAAATGTATTCTCATATACCATTTATTCCATGTTGTGGAGCCAATTTAAAACCAGAGAGTATTTTTTTTTTCCTCCCAGAAAGTCTGAGTACAACCAAACAGGAAGATTTTAATTTGTGTGCAGGAGGTAGAAAAGAAGTTTTGTTTTCTTTCTCAGAAATTTAAAAGATATTCTTAAATGTTCTAGTATCATGGTGAGATGGAGTGGTAGTACATATTTACTGGCTCATTCTGAGCTCGTATTTCTAGCTTCAATTAGATAAGAAACAAATCATTCCTTAACGGAGGGAAGGAGTGTGTAGGTTTTAAGTGGAAGTGGTGAATGAACACAAAGCCTTTCAACTTCTTTTCCTTTAAGCATAATGAAAGCAAGAAGATCATCTTTATTCCATGATTCAAGAAAAATGTGCAGTGATTTTGGTTCTCATTAAATATATATTTAGCTTCTCTTTATCTGGTTTATTCTTGTGCCTGCCCACTTACCCACACCCAGATACTCTACGCTGACATAAAGTGAACGACTTCACATGCAGCCTGATTTCAAATTCAAGCCTGTATCCATGTGCTTGTGTGTAATTTACACCTCTCTCTGACTAATGCAAGTCATTTATGAGTTGTGCATAATCTTTCCTCAGGCTGGAGCGTTTGCCCCATCCTACTTTTAAATTTATTTCTGTTAAAGGGCATCTGAGTCACCAAGGCTCATTTAAAGAAATAGGGTTTGCACAGCAAATAATTCAACATGAGAAGACATGGTTTATTCTCTAATTTTTTGATTGCCTTCATCAAACCCAAGGCAATACGAGAGTTCCTATAAGTAGAAAGTGCAAAATACTAAGCAAATGAGGAGTACAGCAACTCCCATTTTGGAAAATTTTGTGAACTTTGATTGTGTTTTCTTTGAAATATATTTCAGTACGAATAGGTATTCTAATTTCAGAAGAATGTATTAGTCAACCAGGTTGATTAAACAGATTCAGTAAGCTTCATATCACATATTAGATAAGATTTAAACCAAACCTACTCAATTCCTAAACTGTGTCTCTGGCTTTTATGGCAAAAAAAAAAAAAAAAAATATCATGGTGGCGTTAAAGAGATCTTTCAAAAAAACATAACAAAACCAGACACTCCAAACACAACTGATTTTGATTGCCAATTCTGGTCTTGTCTTTCTTATATTAGTACATTCATTTAACTTTCAATTCTTTGGCAATAAAAGAGAAATAAAAGTTCAAAGCTAAAAGCTGTTCCCAGAGGCAGGTGTTTTGTGACAACCTTGACCTTATGGAAAAGAACCCAATGCTTCTGTCCTGTAAACTTGCTATGATGCTGACACCTGGTTACCACATTCTCATCTCCACCAAATCCCTAGATTCCAATTTTCTGTTTACTAGTGATCCCCAAACTAAACATACATGCTTGGTTCTCTCTGCTGCATAGCAAAAGCAATAAAATTTCCTGGAGGGCAAAACTGAGTCTTTCTATTGATCCCAGTGCTTGACACATATAATGCACTCAGTTTCTATATAAAACTGAAGAAAGCAGGAATTTGTGTCTTTCTGTTGGCTTCAGACCTATCTTATCTCTTTAATAATCTCATTTTCCTGAAACTACAGGTCTGTGATAAAGAAGAACAAATCACTGTTGCCACATTTAACACTTGTACATTTTATTTAATTAAATCAGCCATTGTACAACATTGCAGCTATGTATTGTTAGTGTTGTATTTTTTTTTCCATTAACTAATACATGCCCTCATAGATATATTCAATTAGTGTTATCACCATGGGAACAAGATGCTGATTCATCAACTGAAAATTCACTTCTTCTCACAGTATTCAAGTTTTTTGATAACACAGCAAAAATCAAAATCAAAAGAAGGTGATTAACCATTATGTTGTTACACAGACACCATCTGCACTGCAAATAACACAACAGAAATGCTTTTCTTGAGCTCCAGTGAAGGTTTTGACAAGAAGGCCATGGCGTGTCTCAAAAAGTTTCGCCACAGGCCTTTCTCCTTTTGGCTGCCAAAGAATGCTTGTATTTCCTATCCAACTGCCAAAAAGTGCTAGTATTTGAGGCTTAGGAGATTTGGCTTAAGGGAAACCTCCCTCCCAGGAAATTTTCTCTTTTGGCAACGTACTATAAATGATGAAGTGCCATTGTTTGTCGCATTTGTTTTTGACATTCGGAGCAATGAGTCATTTTTTTTGCACAACAGGAAAAGACCAGATAGAATTGGAGAAAGCTGGATCCCTGGAGGATAGACTCTTTTTTTTTTCTTTTTTTAAATTTCATCTTCATTGAATATACTTTTCTTTAACAAATAACTGATTCAAAATGTATACTGTTTATATGAATATATTTGTGAATATATATATATGTTAAAATGCTACACAGCTTCAACCACTAGAGGAATAAGAAAGAGGACATGGAAATCACTCAGGTTGTTACAGTCCCTTCTTTGAAACAAACAAATAGTAAAGTGCACAAATGCACTTAAGAGTTTCCAAGGGAGTTTGGATTTCAAATAAATAAACCGAAAAATTTTAACCCAAACCAAATTTTCAAAGGATTTCTCAATCTTGTCTGCAAGCTGAAAAACAGACTTAGCTGGACAATGGAAAGTGCTCACTCAGGGCAAAAAGAACGAAAAACCATAATGTGATTAGAAGAGGGGTTTTTGACTGTGGTTTTGATTTTTTTTCAATGCCACATGCAGGTATTAGAGAAGATATAAATCTGGAGGGAAAAAATGGAAAAAAAGAAACCACTCCAACATGGTGAAGGAGTTTTAATCTTTTGTGTAGTGGGTAAATCTTGTAATGGAGTATCTACAGTGCAGTGGCCAGAAGAAAGTACCACCAGTAAGACAGCGTGGTTTGCTAAAGCAGCAATGAAAACTGGAAAACTACAGTAGTTATAGCTTTTAAAATACCCTGCCAACGTGTTCAAAATCTACAAGACCTGATGATGCTAGAAGGCCATGGGATGTAGCTTCTAGCAACCGAATACCTCATTGTTTGAATCTCTTCACCTTTTTGCTCCCTCCTTCCCCTCCCTCAGTATGGTGTTGGAGAGTCACAAAGTATGCTGGCCAGTACCAGCCATAACTTCTTAGCATAGTTCAAGATTATTAACCCATCTTTACCTAGGAGCAATGGCTATTCTGCAAGTTCTAAGGACATGATAGGTCTGAAGTGCTTCTTTTGAAGTAGAACTGGATTATCATTCGATTGTGTTAGCAATATCTCAATTAACCATTGTTCGTTTTCTAGAGGCCTTTTATTCCATGATGCCCAGTGTGGTTATGATAGGCAGTGGTTTTAATTTTAATATGGTGTTCATCTGAGCATTTCAGCTATATACATTGTACATGGATATCCCTCGGAAGGATTCCTCTGCGTGGTCACTTGAAGAGGTCTATAGGTGAAGTTCTTCTGAGCGGTGGATTTTCACGGAGCTTGGGCAGAAGCAAGAACAATGGAGGTGGCCAGTTCCCGGGTTAGCACAGACACACAAAGTAGTGGATACAGCATCCAGAATGAAGGATGCCATCTTTGGTCACAAATTAGCTTATAGTTGAAAAGGATGGGGGAAAACTAAAACAAAATGCTGTATGTTTGCTAACAGTGGAAATGTCAGGGGATCCCATCAATTAGGCCAGATAGGTCACTCCTCTAAGGAAATGGGAAGTTGCATATTGAGTGAACGTGTGGTTTCTGGTGTGAGAATTGGGCAGCCCCTCATTTGGCCTCTTGCTTCAAGTCCTCCTTGCAGAAATGCCGAAGGAGTTGCTGGAGGTCGCGCTGGAGGTCATCCTGCTCTAATGCTTCAGGTACATCCTCCAGGTGCTCCAAGTCTATGCGTTTTCCATGCTGGTCCTTCACCACAGCCCTCTTCTGTGTGCTGGCTTTACTCATGGTTGTCCTAGAGGAGAGCAGACAGGGAGAGAATTACGCTCTTTCTTCATTGCTAACATGGCCTGAAGCCAACCATGACATTACTTCTCGATGATTCCACACCAAGCCATTAGTATCACAGCTACCTGTATCTTCTTGTCTCTTTTAAATATGGCTACCATATATGAAACGATTCATGAGACTTTGAAAAGTGTTTTGGGGGGCAAGGAGTATTGTTGAAATCTTGGAGAAGTATTTCAAATAAACGAAACAAGGCTTCATTATGATTCAAAAGAAAACCGTACAACACTCATGTTTTGATTAACTCACATCCATCTAAAAGGGCCCAGTTTGTCCTGAAATCGTAATTCCACAAACAACTTTTAACAGGCTAAGAAGAAGAGTTTTTCGTTCAATTTGTTCAAAACACCTTAAATGCCAACTTAAACTTTAGGGTCACATTCCCATCAAATTTCCCCCAAATTATTCTGTAAGAGAACTTTTTTATGAGACATAGTTAAAAAACTGAAATGGTATCCTATTAATATAAAAGAAAGTTAACTACCAACATGGGCCTCTCTGAAGCTTCATCCGGGGATAGTGAGGGAGAGAGAGGAAAAGGGAAAAAACAAACATGAAAGACAGACACTTCCTGTGCCCTGACAAAGCCCCCATATACTTTGTTCTTTAGCGCATCCTATTGCAATTAACAGTCTGTTGCTTCCTTGCCTCCCCCATCAGACTGGACGTTACTTGAGAACAGAGACTATTACTTATTATTATATTTCATACTATTCTTTTTCTGTATCCCTGCCTGAAAATGATTGTATCATAATTTGTTCATTCTCTGTTCTTCTCTCTCTGTACTTGTAAATACAATTTTTCATGCCACAAATATTTGATGAAAGTGTTTTGTGTGCCAGGCACAATTATTACAATAAATAAGGAAACTCAATCTTAGGGAATTTAAGCAATGTCCCAAAATTTAACAATAACAGTTTTAGCATACCATGGAGACTTGCAGTGCAGACGAGAGCCCAAGATTCCACAGCCTGAGTCCTTAACTCCTGTGCCACACATCTTCACTTAGAACCAGAGTCAGAAAGGATCAAACTTGTAGCTTGAGCCACCATTTTCCTTACATTTCTCCCCAGTGTTCAGGAGCTAGGACATATGGCCCCTCCCAACACCTCTATGCATTTGTTAAGATCATTCTGATTTTTTAAAGGTGACTTATTTCAGTCTAAAATACTTTCAGCTTTCTTTTAGACATCCTTGTTTTCTTCTCTCTTCTCTCAATTTTTCTCATCCCTCCTTTCCTTTGATACTACATGGCTAACTTTGCATTTGAAGGCAAACTAAAATTTGTTAATCTTGATGAAATGGACAAATCTTATTCAAATGATTGAAATCACATTATGGCTGGGCATGGTGGCGCCCAGCAGCTTGGGGAGGCTGAGAAGGAGAATCATGAGTTCAAAGGCAGCCTCAGCAACTTAGCAAGGCCCTCAGTAACTTAGAGAGACCCTATCTCTAAATAAAATATTAAAAAGGGCTGGGGATGTGGCCTCAGTTAAGCACTCCTGGGTTCAATCCCGACTACCAAAAATGAAGGAAGGGAGGGAGGGGAGGGGAGGGAAGGGAATAAATCAGATCATGTTTTTCTGTTCAGCATCCATTTACTTTTTTCCTCCAAAAAAGGCAAATATCTGATGCTTTCTGCCAAGAGTTAGGAGGAGCTTTGATAGCATTGGTGCAAGGGAGGTCCTCTGTGATAGGATATTTTCTGTATATTTTGCAGGTCTATGCAGATGTATAATAAGATGCTTCAGTAATGAATAAGATTAAATGCTGCATACCACAAATAGAGTTCAGTGATTGGCTGGGGGAACTCAATAGTTCTATATTCTCAACTTCAAATTCAATAGCTATTATGGAGAACTTTGAACCAATTGGTTTCCAAATCTATTCCAATTTAAAGATCCTGTGATGTTAGGACAGGCAAGGGTTATATAGTTTCATCTGCGTACATGGATAAAAGCCTTTAAAGTTCAGAATATAAAAAGCATTTTGTCCTTAATTCTTGTAGCATTTTTAAAGTTCTAAGAGAACAATTACACTCTGTTAAATTCCTAGCTGCTGCTGTTTTTCACATTTGGTTGGAGAGTAGCATTGTGACAGAACCTTTAATTTTGCTGTTCTAATTATTATGTTCCAGAGGCTTAAAATAGCCTTGTAGAGTACTAGAAATGACAATCTTTCTCTTCTTTTCAATGAAGTGAAAAGCACAATAGTAACTTGGGTTCCCATCATGTTTTTTCACTGAGAGGCTGAGAACATTTCTTTAATACAGATATTTACTGTGCTGCTAGAGGACTACAGAGAACTGAAAGTAGATCATAGCAATGGCACCCAAGTGTATGCATCAGATCCCTAACAGAGACCAGCAGTCCAGAGCGCCTCACAGCCAGCCTCCTTCTATATAGGCAAGAAGTGCGCTTCCTACGGTCATGCATTTTTTTCTTCACTTTCAAAAGCCCCTGGTTTCAGCATCGCTAGGTGCATTCAGGTTCATGAGCATCAAACTCATGCTCATGTTACTTGCCACTCACATGCAGAGTCATGAACAGTTTGTTAAACACAAAACACATTTAAAGTAAGGATTTACTAAGATTGAGCAGCAGGTACCTGGACACAAAATTACTGTGTGTGCAATTGATGAGATTCCCCCGTCCTGTGTTCTCCAAATCTATCAACACAATGGGAAACCTAGCTGGCTGACTTTAATGACTTTGACAACTTGCTAAAACCCAGAGCATCAGACTGTGTGAGCACATATCTCACCTCACCATCGCTAGGCCTCAACATCACCTTTAAAGCATCAGCGTGCACTGCAGGTACCACTTGACCAAAGCTTAATAATATAGGAGAGTTGGCACTTCCTGTGGGGGGTGGGGGTTAGGGTTACACAGGGGCTCTGCCCTTCTTTTGTTAAAATTGAAAAAAAAAATTATGGTGTTAGTTGGCAAAGCATCACCCCATGCTAACCCAAACCTTTTAATTATTGATCCATCCTCTTTCAGGATTTCATTCTCTACTAAACTGGGAAAGTGGACTTTCATGTGGCTACCTGTGTAACTCAAAGCCTGGGGTAAGAAAAAGAGAATAAGACACAATTCAGCATAAACCATAGACTTTAACACGATCTACCACTTTGCAATTCATAGTATGAAAGGATACATATGAAAGGATAAGTAGAAACAACTCTTAGCAGCACATCTAATTGAGTTTTACTTAACAAGTCCCTGAAAATTTCTCTCATTTATGAACATTTTTTTTATATTACTTTAGGAAACTTACCTGTACCCATATTGACTGACTCTTAATGTCCTCCCTTCACCCCATTCCTTCCTACTGAAAAGATGCTGAGGATAAATATAATGACCAGGGACAAACACAGAAACAAGGGCCAGGATATAACTCAGAGAATTTACCTTTGGATAATCTGAGGATTATCATTTTAGGATTCCAGTTGTTAAATGTGAAAAACTAAAAGTATTTAAGTAATGTTTGTTTTTATTATACAAATGTCTTCCTAGGTAATCTCAATATATGTTGCAGGTGTATTCGACGATATACCCAAAGCATTTCACTTCTAAGTATTTCAACAGTAAAAACATCTTGTGGGTGTTTGTTCATACCCAACCAATCCTTCATCATATGTGCTTCAGAATTTAGATTTTAGAAAGGTAACATGATATATAAACTATATATAACCAACATCTCAGAGGAGGTGGAGATAGATAGCATCCTATAATCAAACCAAATGATTACCAATAGAAAAACATATGGATTTTCACTCTAAGAAAGTAGATTTCATGTCAAAATAGCTTCAGGTCAATTCATGCCAAGGGTTATATCAAATTCTAAGGCAGTTTATGTAAAGTCAAATTAGCTTACTGCTGTGGATCTGCCCCTGTGGACCTATTTCCTCATTGCTGAAACCAGAATATAAGTAACTTTAAACAATTTTTAAAGTAACAATTATAAAACATATCTAAATTTTTTAATGTCTATCAATTGGCAGTGTTGATAATATTAGCTAGCAAAGATAATTTGCAACATCTTTATTTCTTTCCCTTATTAGGAGTACAGAACATTTCTGAGACCTTTATACAACCTACAGATGACTATGCTCCAGCTCTAGATTCTGACTCTAATTTTGCAGAAGTGCATCCTGGTTACCTAGATTTTTTAAAAGCTTTTAGGGTGACATGGATGAACACTATTAAGCTGAGGAAACATCACTTCACCATACGAGTTATTCGAACAGGAAATCTGCTTTCTTGATTATGCTGCATTCTTCCCTTCCATGAATTTGTGCATGAAATGACACGATGACAAGCAATTTTCTTTTGAAGCACAAAGTAAATGTAAAGTGCACATCAAAAAAAAAAAAAGTGAAAGACAAAAAGGTGCTTCTAATACCTCTTCAAAGTCATCTTTGGCTGAAGGAAGATCAGTGGCTAAACTAGAATCCCCCAGATGTTTCTCCATCCTTTCTCCACGCACCATAGTTGTTTTAATAACTTTGCTGACTCTACGGCCTTCTACTGGCTCAGCCTGAAATTGTGAGGCACTGGACAAAATGCTGGGTTCAGACAAAGTGACCTAATGAAATGAAGGACACACAAAATACATTTTCTGACTGCTAAAATGTAACAAATAATTAGTTTTTCTGTTCTAAGAAACAAAGCACAGTAACTACAATATTATATGCTGGCCTGCTAGAAAATAGTATGTGGAAAAGAGGAGGAAGCTTGGGAAAAGTAAACTATAATCAACTGGCAATGTCTGTTTAATGGCTAAATTTCCATAGCCCCTACTTAATATCACTTGAATAAAAATTAATCAATCAGTTTTGTGAGCAAGACTGGTTACATAGTGTAATGTAGATAGAGCAATCTATGGATGAACTCTCTTTTCTCACGTTCAAATGGTTTCATCTGGCCCATTTAGATAAAGTTAATCCCCAAAGGAGGAACTAAAAAAACCATGAGAAACTGACATATAGATTTCCAGATAACCTCATAGTTACATTTTGAGGATATGAAGGATTGTAAAACAGTGAGAATTTCACAAATTACATGTCCAAGAGAGTAAACATGTCCCTGAAACTGGGAAGTTAAACAGAAAGAAATAAAACTATGAATCAAGGAGTTTCTGGATCCTGCTTTTTAGTGGCCCTGAAATGCAGAAGTTGGAAGATCAAATATTTATCTAAAGTGACCTTCAGAAGGCTGGTATCCCAGTCACACCACAAGCACCCTAGGTGCATGTAATGCCTCTTCCTAACATCCTTGCCCAGCAAAAGGGACTTTATTCTTTTAAAACTTGACTTTTAGATTTCTGTTCTGGTCAACTATAAATTAAAAAGACAACAGAAATGAAAAGGATCAGACACAAGACAATGAGTACAATGGCTGCCAAGCTTCTTCATGGCTATTATACAAATCATGGGAAAAAAAAAAAAAAGGAATGTGCAACTATAAGCAGACTGCCATATAAAAGGAAATGGGACCAATATGAGCAATGTCCTCCATCTTGTTTGAGCTCTGCTGTGCTCCTCTCAATGAGCGTTGAAGAATGGTGTGGCCTCACCTCTGACTGCTCGATGTCACTCTTCAATACAACACGCTTTATGACTTTGGAATAGCCATCGCCTTCCTGGATGGTGACAGGTTCCTGTGGCATCCCCTGCATTGTAATCTCTTCTTTCTCTGTGCCATCCGAGGATACATACCTCCTAATGATTTTCCTAGTAACCTGAAATATATTTCATTTGTGCATCTTATTTTTGAGTTAAGGAACAGCAACACTGAGAGATTTGAAACAGGAAATTTGAGGAGATTTTTAAACAGCCAAGTGAGGAGACCCTAGACAGTACCTTCTTCACCACGGTGTGTCCATGCTCATCAATGTATTCTTCTTCTGTGACTGTTTCTGGAGGGATGTCAGGCATATCATCTCCCTAAACAGTTGGGAGAAAAGGGTCATTTCAGCATTGGGCTGAAATTCTGAGGAACTACTTCCAAGTGTTGATAAAATGAGGAATGTTAGAAAACCAAAGGCAATGTGGAAAAGCATTGCTGAGATGCAAACTCCTGTCAAATAGTTTGATTAATAAAAAACCAGAAGCAGGTGGGTAATAACATGCTTAGGAGAATCTGATCAAAGTTAGGTAAAACTTAAAACAAACACAGATAAGCAAGAGGTGAGGTGGAAGGAACTGAAGAAGCCAGATCTTGCTCTTGCTTGCTCCCGCTCTTGGATGTAGGCTGCAAATGTCATTAACACCGCATTTCTTTACAAATAAAATAAGAAAGTTAAGGGATCCGCTTTCAAGTCGCCATGCATTACCTATGGAGCATGCCAAGCTTTTATTGCTTTGGGTGGGTTACTCTCTATGGGTGCAAGGACAGAACCGTCCCTGACGTGCAGTAATTCAACAACTGGTACCTGTATAATGACTCGCCGGCGGACAACCCTGGTAGTTACCATCGCCTCCTCATCAGAGCTGGCCTCCAGCTCACCTAATTCCTCTGTTAGCTCCTGGTGGAAGCATGGAAGCATTGTTTTTTAACATTCTAAGAAATTACTTCCCTACTGGTTTCTCCTTTAACTCCCACTGTATTCTGAGAATGTTGTTCATGGAGGCTTTGGTAGAAAAGTTAGCAGGGGTAAAAGCAAATGTGCGGTAGTCTCAGGCTTCAACAAAAATATAGATTTTGGGGGGGCAATGATTGAAAAAAATTCTGTAATTCTGAGAACTGTCAGAGAACCTATCTTTCAAAATCTGTCTGAAGAGATGAATCTTGCCCACATGACTTCTTTTACATAAACAACTGAGTGTAAACCTAGGATCCAAGTTGTGTCATGGACATTTGGTTTAAACTTGGGATGAGAAACCCACACATGTAGGAATAGCTGGTGTTTGTTGCAGAACTTTTTGCAGGAAGTCAAAATTTCCTGTTGCTGTTGTCTAGTCAGTAGTGTACTTCCCTGGTATCAAAAAAGGCAAGCTACAAATAACAATTATTTTTCAAAGAAGTCAAGAATGAAGAGAACCATCAGATTTATTGAGTGTGATCTAAAGCCAGTTGAGGCTAAGAACATAATTTTAAATAAGACCATATGTCTTAAGAGTCATATATGAAGTTACTCTTTCCTAATGGAATGATGTTTTTTAAAAAAGAGAAAATTCCCCAGACTTATGCCTATATTCCCTGCAACTGGGGAGGCTAAGACAGGAGGCTTATAAATTCAAGGTCAACCTCAGCAACTTAGCCAGACCATAAGCAACTTAGCAAGACCCTTCAAAAAAAAAAAAAAAAGGAGGGAGTACTGATGAAGTGGCTTGGTGGTGGATTGCCCGTGGGTTCAATTACCAAAAACAAACAAACAAAAATACACACACACACACACACACACACACACACATACACACACACACACACAAATACACACACACAGCACAACACATATTTTAAAATACCCAGATTATAGCTCTACATTTTTCTCTGCTAAGGAAGAATATATATCTTCAAGCCAAATTTTACTTGAAATACAATTAGAAACCTACTGCCTAGAAATATAGTCTACAAGAAAAGTAACCAAAATTGATGCCCAAGTTATGACCATAAGAGTGTAAATGTCAACATATGAAGTTGATGAGAGATACCTAAAGATTCATCAAGAATAAGTGGAACGGGCCTGTATACAGAATGTAGAATGCAAAATGACATAAAAATTTATTTATGTGCACAGAATAGATTAAGTACATAATTCATCCAAATAATAGTTTTAAGTCTTTATCTTATTTGCCTATGGAATTTCAGGCTAAATTTGGTAATTTTTAAGCCCAGAGAACTTGTTTGAAATATTTTTACTAGTATGCATTGAAGCCAAGAACTTGAGATGAATAATTCTGTGCAAAGCAAACTTGGAATAAAAATCCATTCATGAAATGAATTCATTCTTTGAAACAACTGCCAAAATCAGGACACAGTTCTCATCTGCCTGGATCTTTTCAAATTTTAGTTATGACTTTAGATAAATTCTAGTAGCAGTTGTTACCCTGATAGTGAATTAAAACAAATGTAGATCTTGAATCCAAAGATGTTGTATTTCCTTTCCCCCCCAAAAGATTTCAATTCTTTTATATAACAAATCTTTTATTACTAGGCCTATGATGAAAAATACTTTTAAGTATAAAATGCTTTTAAAAATCTGTTACTTTCTAAAAGGAAAAAACAACATCTAATTTAATTTATTTTATACTAAGTTTAATTCAGACAGATTCTCATACTTCTTTGGGTGCGAGTATCATCTGGGAAGTTATTTAAAATGCAGATTTGCTCTCTCTTCACTTCTTGGGGTTCCTTCTGATTCAGTTCCAAGGGGAGATCAAGCTCCCAATTAATTCTGAAATACGTGAACCATATAGACCGCATTTTGAGAGTAAATTTCTTAGGATGGTACACACCTATCTTCACAACTTTAAACCTCATTTAATAACAAAGGATATGTTATGAAAAATCTCATGCCACCATCAGCCATTGGGACATTCAGAAACAGCAAAATTTAGACAAAATGTTCTTTTGCTAAATTAGTCCTAAAATAGATATCTAAGAAAATCTAATTTGGAAATTATCTGTCTTCCACTGAGGAAAGTTTGCTTTGGGAGCTAAAGCCACCAGATATTCAATCTGTCTGCTCATTACCAGACAGTGAAGATGTCACAAGACTGCTGGCCCAGCACATCCCAGAGCTGTCAAACTTACCTAATTCTGCTAATCTCTATGACTAGCCCACACATGTTGACTAATTTTGCAAAGATTATCGTTTTACCATGGTATTCATTTTTCATTTAGCAAAAGGTTTCCAGTGATAAAATTATGACTTTTGGTCCAGTAGTTAGCACTGGAACTGTGCGCCATTTCTCCTAGATATATTGTTTCTCGGACTTTAAAAGAACTGAGGGTTTCCCAAAGCTCAAGTTAATTAATCTGGCAAAATTTTTTTTTGTTTTGAAATAATAAAAAATAAACCATCAGAGAAATGAAACTGGAGGAAGGTTTGTAGCTTTGTTACAGATGGGCAAGAAAACGGAGAGGAAGGAAAGTCTTGCCTTGTCAAAAGTTGCATCTCCATCGAGTCTCTCCACCGTCTGTGCCTGGTCATCAGCAGACTCCACTATCACCAGACTGGTCTTCCGTGGGGAACCCTCCTCCCTGGGCTCTGGGAGCTCTTCGGGTTCTTGCACAATGGGAGAGCCTCCCCGCTCACTGGACGTTGGGGTCTGAAGGTACTGCCTCTCCTCCTCAGGAGGGGTACTAATCTCCTCAGGAGTCTTGCTGGGAGAGCCAGGCTCTGCCGTGGCCTTGTGAGTCTCTGACCCCTCTGTACCTGGGGTGGTCACACTGGAACAAAAAAGCCAAATAATACATATGGGGCATTTACATTTCCCCTGCTTGAGGAAGAGGACTGGAAGAAAAGGTGAAGCTAGTATTCATAGTCCATGATAGCCAAGATGGGTTTGTGTATTTGGCCAACAAAATAATTAAATAATAAATTAAAAAAAAAAAAAAAAAAATATATATATATATATATATATATATATATGATATAGCCTAGAGTTATGGCTCACTGATGTAGCATGGATGGAGAGTGATGTATTCCAAAGGTAAAAATTATCCCAAAGTGAATGACAGTTTTCTAACCTCTAACGTAGTATAAATTAAACTTTTATTTTTTTCTTCAATAAGTCAGTAATATTGAGGATTTGAGAAGCTTCACCTAATAATACTTTGTAAATAATACTTCTAAAGTAAGAATGAAACACTGGAAGAATTAAATAAATCCCCATGTTAATCTAGTTATCATAACTAAAAGGAAATTTTTGTAGGGCCTCTGAAAAAACTATTACTAACAGAGGGATCTGTTGACACTGAAACTTTTTTTTTCTACTGGCAGTTTAGAGTTACTCCAATGAACCTTTTACAATCTCCAATTTTGAAATATGAAAATTCTTTGCTCCCTTTTTCTTAGCATAATTTCTGTTGTGCCCTATGGGCATTGATGTCAAATATCCAGAGCCTCTCTGATAGCACTTTCTTTGTTTCCATCTTTTCCTAACCTCTACTTTAGGCTCTTCCCTACAGGCAGATGGGAGGGGTGGCTCACTGGAAGGAGAGATCACTTCATTACCCACTTTACCCTCTTCTCACATTCCAGGGCCACCAAACAACACTCACATAATGACAAAGGAAATGCTGTAATGCTGCCTCGTGACACACTGTTCTCAGATTTCAGAGTTAGGGACACATTTGTCTTTCTCATGATCAGTTTTCTTTTTCTGGACAGCAATGTCTTTTAGGCAGCTCTGTTTCTCCTTTGTTTCCATAAAACCCAGAGCTCAGGTTCTGAGCTACACTGTACTCTGGAGCTTCCTTAGCCAGAAGTTCTCTAGAAAACCTCTTTTTACTTCCCTTCTCACCCCATCCTTGTGTCAATGGTCTTTTTGGCCTGTGTGAATCATTTGTGTGTATTTTTAGTTTTATAAACGCTGCCATACCTCTGCCGTCACTCTTCCTGCTCCAGACCAGTCAAGGCACAATGAGTGTCAGACCGGGAACATTCTGGAGCAGACAAGGTGCTGCAACTGTACAAGTGATGACTGTGTTGTCAAGACAAAAGTTTACAATTCAAACAATGCACTCACAGGCATGTCTTGGACCTTTCTCTGTGAAATAAGTAAAGTGTCTACTGTTATCATGGCTTATAGATGTGGAAATGGAGACTCAAAGCACTTAGGGACTGTCTAAGGTCACAGAACTGGAAGTTCAAACAGGTCTGTCCCACACACACTGTCACAATCTTTTAAATGTTTCAGGTTTTCTTTTCTTTTCTTTGGATGTAGCTCTGTCATGTGTTATAGGTGAGGGATATTTTAAAATTATTAAAATCTGTATAACTGGCAATAATTTAAAACTGCCTCCCCCCCATGGTATTGGCATGCAGATTTGCTTTTGAAACTCACAAGTATTCCTGCTTATCTTCAGGCAGGTCTTGCATTTTCCCTGAGAAATCTTGTTGAACTTGTTCCTTGTGTGTTTGGGGAGAAAGTACTGTTGTTGCACTGTCTCCTTCAGTTTTAGGGATGGAATCCTGAAACGTGGAATAACCAACAGAAATGTCTTCCTCAGAGACGATGGGAGGGTGGTCACTGGACTCGCTCTCTTTAGAAAGAGCTTGCTCCTCTGACTGCTTATGCTGGGCAGCGGAGAGCTCCTCTTGAAGTACTGAGAAACCTGATGGGGAGAATGATTTAAATGGTTAATCAAAACTCATTTATACTAAATGTGCATTTATTAAGTAGCTATGATGTGCCATGTCCTGAGATAGGCCCATGGGTTAGAAAGATGAATAAGATGCTGTGTCTGCTTTCAAGGGGTGGATCACATAAAGGGAGAAGTCAGTTCAAATGCAGAGTGACAGGGCCACAGGTGGCAGTCACTAAATATGGGAGCACTATCCTCATCTCAGCATCTGAGATGTTGGAGAGGAAATACAGAGGAGGTAATGTTTGAAATACTTATGATAAATAGACATTCACCATGTAGTCAAGGCATAGAATCTAGTTGAAAAAAGAGTACGAATCAATAATAGTAAATTACTAATACATTCTGAATATTAATTCAGTGCTTTGTAAGCATTAACTTGTTTAATACTCACCACAACACTCTGTGGTGAGTAGGGTGTCTTTTTTTTTGTAGAGTCTTATGCCAGGCTAAGGCATTTCATGCTACTCAAGGCAATGAAGAGTCATTGAAAAAGTTTTAGCAGAGGAGTGAATGACATTCACCTATTTATTTGTTTGCTCAACAAATGTATATTGAAGATGAACTATTTAGTGGGGGCTGTTGAGAGGCTGGATAATCTTGCAGATTTTAACAAGACAGAAAAGGCTGCTTTTGCCCTTACTGAACTTCTATTTCTGTAGATCTGTACATATGATAAATGTTAGGAGAAAGCAAACTAGGATAAAGAATAGAACAAATAGGGCTGCTATTTTAGATAGACGAGGCAGGAAAGACTCCCCCTAGGAGGTGATATTTGAGCAGTGACCCAAAGAAAAGTGAGAGAGAAAAGGTTCTGTGGATCCAGGTTGGAGGAGACAGAAAGCACCAGTACCCTGAAGAAGCAGAATCCTGGAGGTGCTCAGGTAACAGCAAAGAAAACAAGAAGGAATTAATTATTTGTGCACATGTTACTAAAGGATAAAGTAATCGAACACTTAGAATTTCCCATTGAATTTTGCAATGAGAAACAATTGATTATAGAAATAGTTCTTGAGAGAGTGGGAAGAGAAGGAGAGACAGGAAACTCAAGACTGCTCTTTTGAAAAAATTTCCTTTAAAATAGATGGAGAAATATAGAGGGTAAAAGGGGTTATTTGCTTTTTAAAAAAATATTTTTTGTTAGTTGTTGATAGACCTTTATTTTACTTATTTATACGTGGTGCTGAGAACCAAACCCAGTGCCTCACACAAGCCAGGCAAATGCACTACTACTGAGCCACAGCTCCAGCCCCATTTGCTTTGTTTTTTAAGAACAGACCTGTTAAAACATGGTTTAATGCAGTTGGGCATAGTCCAGTTGCAGGGAGCAGAATAGTACTTGCAGCAGTGAAGTCCTTGATTGGGTAAAAAGAAATCAAATCCAGGACAAAAGAAAAAAAAATAGTGGCTTTAGAAAAGCAAGGAAATTTAATCCACTGTAAGAGGAGAGAAGGTATAATGTGCGTCATGATGCACTCCTCTTGATGGATCTTGGGATGGAAAAATACCGACATTTTTCTATAACCTATCTTTCTAAGAAATCTGAAGTGTGGGTATCAGCTGGGAATAAATAAGGAGAAGTATTGGAAGTCTGAAGAAAGAAGAAAAAATATAAAAATAGAGATAAGAGAGAAAGAGATTGAGCAGGCAAAGGAATGACAATAAATTCGAGAAACTTTAATTCTGAAAAGGCGGTAGGGCCAAAGCCTGGAGGTCCCAGTGGGTCTGAAGAATTGTTGGTGTGGAGGTAAAAGAGGAAGTGAAGTATAATGGTTCAAGTAGTGTGCTTCTCAGAAGTGCAACAGTTATTGGTCATGATACACTCTAGGTTGTGCGAATAGAAGTTAGTGTCTGAGGAAGACTAGTTTCAAAAATGCCATCAAGGAACTGAGGAAAGTAAATTGAATGGGTCACCCATGATGGCACAAAAACAAAGAATGAACAGTGTGTATGAGTTGTTGGGGGGAGGGGTGTTAAACAGGCAGCAAAGTTGAAGTAACAAGGAAATGAATGATCCCCAAAGGCCGTGGTCTATCTTCTAAAAGGAAAGACAGCAGAATGAACCAGACATAACCTTCTTATGTTCATATATCAATGGATGACTGTAATCCATATCATGTACAGCCATAAGAATGGGATCATAATTAGAATAAGTTATACTCCATGTACATATGTCAAAATATACTCTACTATCATAAATATATCTAAAAAGAACAAATTATGAACAAATTAACAACAAAAAATGAAGAGAGAGAGAGTAGATCCAATACCTAATCCAATACCTTTACCGCCAACATACACAGTGTTTTACCTTCACTATGGTCCAGTGTAATGGTCTGCTCAATCTCTGCATAGCTATGACTGATGCGCTCCTGGAGAGGTTCTGTGCTGGTCTCCATGAGGTGAACAATATCCATTCGGTTGATCTTGGTAAGACATTCAATGAGGTTGGTATCTAAGATAGTAGAGAAAATCCACTTATTGTATATGAGAGGTTATTCTTTTTAAAATCTCTTTCATTTAATTTCTGACTACATTTCTGATATTTGCATAGGAAACAGCCAAAGACTAATTAAGTGTCTTTGGTAAAAAGCAAACAGAGAGACATGCACACAAAAAAGATGGTATAGCATAGGCACAAGCCCTAAAAGTAGAGCTGACGATAACATATGGGACACCCTGTCCAATCTGAGTTGCAGGTAAAATACTTTTTTTGGTACAAGTTTATGCAAAATACTGCATGGGCTGGATTTATACCAACTCAGTGTAGACTAATTATCAGAAATTTAAATTTAAATAAATTTACTTTTATTATTTGCTAAATATGACGGTGCTACTAAAAAGCATATAGACAGAAGAAATGATATGTATAGAGGTCTCAAGGTAGATCTGCAGGGAGACATTAAAGGAAGTGACAAATTTAGCCCAGCTGAAGGATGAGAAGCCCCTCTGGTCCATATCACTCCCATTTTACTCCATGTGGTCAGAATATCACATAGGAATTATAACATTAAAAAAGTACTTAATATTTCTCCCTACTTACATTATTTAGGAATTAAGGAAGCAGGAACTGAGCATGCTACTAATAAAACAATAAATAAACTATATCCCATACCAATATTTGGATAATTTTAAGACTTGAATAATATCCCTGTTGTCAGCTAGTGCTGGTGTAATTTCCCATTAATCACAGGAATGAAATACAAGATATTTTATGCCACATGCATGTTTTAGAAAGGGCAACAGTTTGTTCTCATTCATTGTTAGTACTTCAAATGGATGGTATTTGTTAATTAATTGTCTTACCAAATTTGCAAGAATGGGGTTGTTGAACAGGCATTTCCACTTTTTTTTTTCTTTTTTAATGTTGATGGCCACTGAGCCACAACCCCAGCCCCAGGATTTCCACTTTTAGCCTAACATTTTTTACATAGAATTCTGTACCTACCAGTAGCATGTTTCCCATCCCTTTCCAGCCAGTACTTCAACAGTGCATGACTCTGGTCCTGAAGGGAGTTGGGGTTCTCAATTCGAATTTGATGAATTTGCTCTTCAGTGAAATCCAATTCTCTTGCTAGTTCTAGAGGAGAAGGTACTACTTTGTAAACACACTGACTTCACAGTTTAAATATCTATACCTTGCTTTGTGATTTTATACATGTGCTTTTGTAGGTGCTATATTTGGGTTCTTTTATTTCTGCACAGTAGAAGTGATTCATATTTCTTTGCTTTTCTACTCCTGATTATGGGTCTTTCCTTAAAACTGGGTATGGAATTGATCATTGCCATAGTGGAAATAGCAGTTATGAAGCGGTGATAATAAAATGTGTATAATTCAGGTTCATTTGATTCAAAAGTGCAGAGGAGACCATTAATACTAATGCTCTTACCAAAGTAATAGAAAATAAATGCAGGAAAGCAGGAGAAATAGACTACTTCTCATTTTTAATCATCCTGGGTGATATTTTAAGTACTATAAATCCTGTTTCTGGGTACTTAGATATAAATACCTAGCTTTGTCTAATATAAATATAAATAGCTTTGTCTAAACTATAGGGGTAGGATAAAATTCTTCCTTTGATTTCATGTTATATGAATAATAGGTATGGAAAGCATTAGTTTGCCCAGGGAAAAAGCCACAATGCTTTCCTTAAAATTCTACCATATTCATCTATATGGGTGCTTTGTCATGACTGTGTGGGTGTGTGGTAGTTATGTGTGTGCACAAGGGATGGCTTCTATTATCATTTTGATAATACCATTTAAAATAAAAATTATCTGTGACACAACAATTCTTCTTCTAAGGACATACTCTATAGGCATTCTCATAAAAATATACCAATATACAAGAATATTTATTGCCAGTAAGAGGAAACAACCTAAATTCCATTAACAAAGGCTATTGATAAAATGATGGATGCCCATGCAATAGAATTAGAAAACTATTTTAAAAATATAACAGGTATGTCTATGCTGCTGCTCATGTATGCTACTGGAAAATTTATAAGGAGTATTAGTAAGCAAAATTTACAAAATTTTGCTAACTTTTAAATGGTAGGCATATATATAGGCATTGTATTTTTTTTTCTGAAAACATGAGAAGTATGAACAGTTACTGTTGAGACATGGGGCTAGAAGACCAGGAGTAGGTGTGAGAGACATACTTACTTTTCATTTTATATCTTTCTATATGATGATATAAAGGCTTGAACTTTCACCAAACATATGCATATTTATTTAAACAACAAAAAATTGAATGTTACCTATCTAATAAATCAATCAGGGACAATTTGAAAACATAACTTCCTCTAAATTTTCCAATTAAATAAGGCTGATCAGTATTTAAAATTACTTTAAAATGGTTTAATATGAGGCAATGCTATTTCCCATTTCCAGTTATTTATTTTAAATGATCAATTATTAGCACATGGAATCCTATTCATTAGCAATCGTATTCATTAGCAAATCTTTAAGAAATTGAAAGAAGAATATTAACTTTATACTGTTTGTCTCAATGAAGTAGTCACAAATGACATAAAAGGAAATCAAAACAGATTTTAGGAAGAATGGAAGAAAGGCAGAAAGGAATGAAGGAACAAACTATATAATTCTGCTATAATGTAGTAAATCACAAGTAGATGAAAGCATATCATTTTAAAATCTATGAATCATGATTTTTAAATAAACCACACTGATTTAATAATTTACTCTCTTAGTAAATTATTTAACATACCATTTCTATACTTAAACATTTCCATTTTTCAAAAAAGTTATTGAAACATCTCATTCATATATGTTGCAATATTCACCCCAAACAAATTTTAGTTTACTCTGAAGATACCTGACACAAAATATCTAAAAGAAGAAGCCCTAGTTAAATCTCAAATTAAATTTTATAAAAATCATATAAAATAATTTGATCTTCAAATCTAAAGTCACTCCAAATTTCAGAGAAAAATCTGCCTTGCCAATACAGAAGCTGGATTTTTAATTCATAGTTTATTGTTCTTTTCACTATGTCATGTGGTCTTTCTCAAGAAAAGGGAGGAGGAAAAGACCATTCTCACTTAGTTACTGCACCTGTATCATTTAAACTAAGCAGGCTTTCTGCAGGAAAAAAAATAATAAAAGGGTCACCCTGGTTTTACCTGTCCAGCTGAAGCCAAGATGATCAGCAATGTAAGCCAGCCTCTCCTCAATCCGTTCCTGCTCATCCTGTGGATCTACAGAAGGTCAAAGACAGAAGGGCCAAAGGTTGTCTATGATAGGGGAGGAACAACAATGTACCGACCATCCAAAGGAAGGAAGTTACTTGTCCAAATATTTGATAGCACATATTACCTACTCCAATTTGGATCATATTAAGTTGTGTGTTTGTCTGATATCTGGGGTGAAATGGGGAATAAATCTAATATGATTCATGAAAACCATCTGCTTCCATATCTCTTTAATCAAGACTACTTATTGGAAATAATTATATAAACTGTCAATTTATAGTCATCTTAGGACTTTTCTTTTAAATTATCTGAGTGAATACTGCCCACCAGAAGACAATCTGCTTTACTCAAGAAACACCAGAGTAATCATAAATGGGATGCAGAAGTAGAATAATTGGCTAGAACCATCTAGCCATTCATGGAGGCATCAGCCACTTCCAGGTCTTGCTGAAAGAAATCTCATCATAAATTTGCAAGAGATCTTGATCATGGCTTGCTCAGACCATCCTGATTTATCCAGTGTGGCCAGAAATAACATTTACCTTGGTCCCTATGACCTCAGAAGAGGAGAGGAAAAAAGAAAATGCATTTGTTCGTGTTTGTTGGATTGGTATGCATATATGTCTTTGGGACAAATTTCTGCCTGCTTGCTACCAAGAAAGCTCATATCTTACTTAATTTATAATTTTCCCATTTTTTTTAAAATTTCATGTATCGATGGGCAGCATTTTAGACCATGGTACCATGAAATTTTTTATAAGTCAAATTTAAGAATAATAGTCTTCATTGTAGAGATATTGGAAGACCAGAGGCTACTTCTCAAAGCCATCTGTGGTTTCCATTTTTACAATTCAAAGAGCCATCATTCCCTCACAGTCAACTTAAATGGTGCAAAGTTTGAGTTTTTGTTGTCTGCTGCATCTTTTCCGAGTACGTTCTCCATTCATCTACCATGTAAATGAAAAGCATATTTTTACCTTATATTTGTTTGCTTAAAGTGTTTACCAATGTATCTGAAATCCCACCTTTCTGCATTAAAAACAGATCCACAACAATTGGAATTTTTGGATATGTGAAATCTTCTTGAGCAAATGGCTTCCTAATAATTACAAAATTGTAAGTATAAATTATTGCGAAGTATTCAAAGGAAAAAAAACAGTTGTGAGTCCTCATATCGTGAAACAAAAATCCAAATGTTCATGCACAATAGCAAAAGTGTTTAATTCGAGGCTAAGCCTGGGTACTTCAGAACAACAAAACTCAAAGCTTGCATGGCCTTACGTGCAGCAAATAAAGAAAGGCAAGTTCATTGCCTGGATATGTTTATGTTTTCCATAAGCATTCTCATTACTCAATCTTGAGATTGTTTTCATAGACAAGAGTATACAGAGAAAGCACAAAACACAAAGGGCTTACACAAACACATTAACCACTACGGAAAGCTTAAAGAAAATGAGACACAAATCACCAAATAAAACAAAGATACAAAAAAAAACTATCAAATTTATGACATGCGTAGCACAGGGAATCCCAGTGGCTGTCAAATACCTTCAGCATGGTCATGGCCATTTTCATCAGGGATGCGTTCAATCAGAGTCTCAATGGACTCATCCCAAATGGGCCTTGTGTCAAAGATGTCCTCAGGAACTGAGTGCTCGGTCTCAACAGGTGGCAGATTTTCAATAACTGAAACTTCCAGGGCACTACTACTTTCATCATCTGAAACTAATTCCTGCTCCCTTTCTGACTGTGTAAGTCTATCCACCAATTTGGAAGCCTCATCGCTAATCTCCTCAAAGAATTCTATGGAGTTTCTGTAAAGGTCAAAGAAATGCTCCTTACTTTCTTTTGTGGGGCTCATGCCCCCCCTGCAGGATGATGTGGTGCTTCTGCTCTTAACTGGCAAACGGGATGCAAATATCTTTGGTCCTGTGGCCCCTTCTTCTGATTCTAACTCAAGCTCCTCTGCCCCCTCTCTGCTCTCTGTTTCTGTCTCAGTATCACTTCTGGCCTTCACTGGGCATTTGGTCTTTGAGTCCTCTGGACTAACATCAGATTCGGATTGGCTTCTGTTATCTGGGGTTCTGCTTGTCACATCCTGTCCCTGAGGAGCAACTGACTGCTGAAGAGATGCACCTAGGTGTGAGAGCGACTGCTCCACTCTTTGGATGGGTGCTTTGATGGGGATTTTGGACTTTGGTTTTGCTTCATCCTCCTTACTTTCCTCATCCAGACTAGATAGAACATCTTCAGAAAATGTACTCTCATCCTCTACAGATGGAGGCTCTGGGATTGAAGTGGGGATAGTCCTTACAGGAATTTTGGATTTGCTTTCAGTGGAAGGCACATTCTCCATGGGTGCAGTTGGGATTTCGATCACTGATTTCTGTTCCTCTGGGGAAGAATCGGGAGAATCATCATCCCGATCTGAATATACGGACCTGGTGACTGTGGAAAAATCTAACTGAACTTGTACAACTGGTTCTGGAGAGTCAGAGCAAGGTGTCTGCTTCACATTGGACGGAGAAGGTGTATCACCCCTTTGCATGGTGGGGAGGTCCTCAGCCCCTGTAGCAATGGCCTCTTTTGTGGATGGTTCCATGCAAACTGAAATTCCCATTTGGGAGTTAAGGTGAGTATCTGAAGCAGATATTTCCTCTACTTCCTCACTCAAGTCATCTGGAAGTAATTCGCCTTCATCGTCCACCGTTTCCTTTGATTCTGAAAGTGCTAGTGACTCAGCTGTTGACTCCAGCTGTTGGGGCTCAGCTCCAGTGACCCCTTCTTTCATGTCTTCAGAGAGAGTGTCATCCCTAGATTCTTGCCCAATTTGGAAAAAGTGAAAACTTTCATCCGCATAGGACCTTTTGGTCATATCAATGGCCCCACTTCGGGTCATCTCAAACAATTTTCCTTCCTGAAAGAGAAATGGATTTTGTTCACTCGTTGGGGTCCCTTCTTCGGTTGGGGTCCTAGCAGGAGTGGTGTCAGGGGTAGTACCCTGAGATTGTCTGTCCACCATCAGGCCAAATATCTTCTGTTCTTCCTCTTTCACTCGAGCTTCAAAGGCTTCATCATCTTCACGAATTTCACTCCAGGAATCAGAATCCACATCAGTTTTTGTGATGATGACTTTGCTTATTTGTTCACTAATGACTGCTGGTGTACTTGGTACACCAGGCTCTAAAGAGGAGGCTCTATCTGATTGCATTTCCCACAAGGTACTTTCTTGTCTAGATTCGATTTCTAGGTGCTGTCCCTCAAGATTAGATTCTTTGCTTGAAACAGTTGCACTAGAGGAGCTCGTTACTAATACATCTTCAACAGAGGATGTAGTCACAGAGTATACTTCAGAAGAGTAATCACTTGAGGTGTGACTTGTGCCTGTTTGGGTTTTGCTTTCTTCACTAGAGAAAAAAGATTGGGTAGGAACATTTTCATAAGGGCTTATGACATGGGGATCGTAGATTTCACCAGTCTCAGCTAGGTCAGAAACTGGAACGTCCATGGGAAACCTATCTGTTTGAGTGGTAATAGATGAGTCTTGAGTAGAATAGTCCTTTGGTATATTCTCCAATGTTTCATCCGTTTTTGTGACCTCCACTTTTGTTGTGGAAGATGTGGAGGATAGATCATCATCTAATTCCTTTCCTTCAGATTCGGGACAATGAGGCAGAGGGGACAAAGAAGAATAGCTGTCACTGGGGCATTCTCTCTGTGGCGATTCCACAGCAGGAGCATCAAGCTCTTCTCCTGGGTCATTTTCATGAGTATCTTGGGGAGCGAATGATTCCTTGTGGGTGACTAACTGCTCATCGACATCATCACCAGCAGAATTCTGGAGACCTGAAGAGATAGGGGTGGTTGAGCAGGTAGGACTCACAGCCTCACATCCATGGCCGTCACAGACTTTTGGCTGATCAGTGTCTCTGCTTAGATCATCATAAGTTCTATCTGCATCATAAGTTCTATCTGCATCATCCGTGGAAAAAGGGTGACTGTCATCAGCTAAAGGGGATTCACAGTCTTTTTCTTCTTCTGAGTTACCTGGCTCTTCCTGAGTATCTTCATTCATCTTGAAAGTATATTGTTTAGAAACTATAGGCTGGAACTGCACCTCTTCTGGACTAGAATTGGAGTCTATGCTGGATGGGAGTGGGGAAGGAGGCTGCACTCGAATAACTGGTTCTGGTAAAAGGCCAGAGTCAGCACCTTTCTTCAGCTGCGTCAATTCAGGTTCACTGTCTGAAGAGGAAGAAGCCTTTCTGCTCTCAGAAGTCACCAACACCGGGACATGGCTTTCACCTGCCATGTTCTCCATCTGTTTTGGCTCATCCACCTGTTTTGGCTCATCCACCTGTTTTGGCTCATCCACCTGTTTTGGCTCATCCACCTGTTTTGGCTCATCCACCTGTTTTGGTTCATCCACATCTGCTGAGCAGTCTGCATCTGGGTCAGAGGATGAGGAAGATTCTTCTTGTTTGGGTTCTTTTTTGTAGTCCCTTTTCTGCTTGGCTTCTTGTTCAAGTTCATCAAACATTTTAATTTTGGTTACCATTTTGAACATTTCCTCTTCGGGTGTGAACCTCTTTTTCTCCCCGTTTTCTGAGTCATCCTCCTCTGCACATTCATGAATCACCGCTGGTTTGGGTGTACTTGTATCTGCAGCTTTGGGTGTGACCTCATAGCTAACTTCTTCAGAGCTGGGGGTGTCAGGAGAAAGAGGGCTCTTCCCTGAGCTCTCCATGAGTGACGTCTGCTCAAGACTGTCATCTTCAGCGCTGCCGTCGGGGTCTCGGAGCAGCCGGGACCTCATGGAGGCCACTTCCGTAACGAGTTCTGTTTTGGTGACAGCTGAAGGAAGAGGAAAGTGACTTGGAAGAATTCCTGCCTTCATCTTTGGTTCCACGGGGCTGCTTTCGAGAGAGTCCCGACAGGGGGATTCTTTCAGAGGACTTGGCTCCAGAGAATCGGGAGTCTTGTGTGAGGAGTTATCTTCCAGAACAGGGCTGGCTTCCAGAGAGTCTTTGTGGCTGACTGCTAATGATTCATCTGCCATGGGGCTGAGGACCTCACTATCACGGCTAGGGAGTGCAAGTTCCAACCCCTGGGGACTTCTCATGCCTCCCTGAGGCTTCGATGCAATTCCTGTGTCTGTCTTTACAGATGCATCAGTCAGAGGTGAGGACTTTGTCTCATCTGGAGATTCCCGAGCCTCACCATCAGTTGGAGTCTTGTGAGCTGAACTATCAAGTGTAAGCTGACCTTCATCCGTCAATGCCTTGGGTGTTTCTTTTGCTAACGATACACTGCTGCTGCCTTCTGGTTGGGGGCTTATGTCTTTGGAAGGTTCTGGGGTGGTCAGCTTCTGAAAGCACTCAGTAGAGGGCTCTGAGCTCTCAGTGACTGCAGCACCTTGCTCTTGAGAACCATCAGTAATGTCTTTGGTGGGGTGATGTTCTTCTCCTGAATGTGTTTCTGGGGGCGTGTCTAACTTGGTTTCCCCAATCTGCTCCTCACTTTTCTTTGGTGAGAAAGAAAGGCTCTCTGGGCTTGTCTCAGGGGTCTCTGCTAGGCCCTCATGCTTATAGCTCTCTTCTGAACTAATCTGAGGGGTCCCCTCCATCAGGCTGCCACATGGAGAGCCTGCCATCCCTTCCTGTTTTAGGCTTTCAGAACTGGCATCCAAAGCATCACTCTGCAGAGACAGAGCCGGAAGGAATTCATCCTTCATGTAATCTAGTGGAAAGGTTGTATTGAAAGGGCTAGTGAGGACCTGGTCTAAGTGAAGCTGCGCCTTTTCGGTCCCTTCACTCATCCGGAATTGCTGGTATTTGTCATTGTCTTCTAATTCTTGCTTAATGACATCAGAAAAGTCAGTGGAGGTTTTCCTGTCTGGGCTGATCTGGAGGTCCATGTCTCCCTGCTCATCCACCATTTTTTCTTTGGGAACTTCACTCTCTCTATGGCTTTCTTCTTCAGGAGCTGAGTGAACGGGTTCAGGTGTTTTGGGACTGGGTGCTTTCTCCTTTTCTCCAACTGCATCCTCCTTCTTAAATCCTATCGAGGAAGTCCGGACCCCCCTCCTGGATTCGGAAGCTCCTGTGACTAGGAATCTCTGGCCTCTTTTGATGGTCTGAGTCTCTGTTCTCTGTGTTTCCTTCAGGGTTGCTGTCTGTCCCTTTTCTTTTTCTACTCGAGCAGCTTTGCCTTTCTCTTGGGAGGGTTTCTGTTTTGCTGATTTATGTTCAAAGAGTCCAGTTTTATGTTTAGATGGGTCCTGACCTGACTGGAAAGCTTTCATCAACTCCCGAACAGACATGGTTTCCTCAATTCTTTCTGTTTTTGAGGTGGGGGACACAGGGGGCTGCTTTTCTGTTTTCCCAGAAGGTGACACAGGGAGGTGCTTCTCTGTTTTCGCAGCGGTTGACACAGGTGGGTGCTTCTCCGTTCTTCCAGAGGGTGAAACGGGCAAGCGTTTTTCCGTTCTCCCAGGTGACACTGGAGGATGTTTCTCGGTTCTCCCGGAAGGTGACACAGGTGGACGCTTGTCTGTTTTGGTGGAAGGAGAAACAGGTGGGTGTCTTTCTGTCTTTGTGGATGACACAGGCGAGTGCCTTTCAGCTTTTGTGGAGGGCGATACAGGTGAGTGTTTCTCAGTTTTACCTGATGACAACACAGGTGAATGTCTTTCAGTTTTGGCTGAGGGTGACACAGGTGAGTGTTTCTCGGTTTTGCTGGATGGTGACACTGGAGGATGCCTTTCGTTTTTCGCAGAAGAGGACAGGGGAGAGTGCCTGTCTGTTCTCGGGGTGGGCGACGCTGGGGCATGTCTCTCTGACTTCAGAGAAGGCGATGCAGTTGGATGCGTCCTGTGAGTGGTCTTCTTGGGCACATCCTCTTTGCCTTTGACTCTGATGGGCAACTTGCTTCGACCTTTCTGTTCATCTTCCACTCGCTTCTGAAGGGCCTTTACTTTATCCTTAATGGAACCAATGGGAGTTTCTTCTATCAGAGGAGAGGTGGCCTTCACAGTGGGAAGAGATTCTGGGGCCAGACCTGCATCTTCATCTAGTGACTCTTCCGAACTACCTTTTTTAACTTCTGATTTGTCTTCACTTGCGTTTATGCTTTCCTCTTTCTGTTTCTGCTTTTCTTTTAATTTCCTTCTCACAGGCTTCTTTATTCCCAGGGTTGGTTTGTGCGGTTTCTGCAGGCCCTGTTTCTCATCGGGGGGTGCAGCCTTCCCTTCTTTCTCCGAGCTTTTGCCAACAGATGGAGCCTCACTTTTCTCCCTGGCCACATCGTGACCTGTCTGTGGCTTCTCTCCATGAGGAGACACATAGGAATTGAGGTCCTCAACAAGGTAGTTCACTAACCCAGTGGCATCTTTCTCTACTTGGGCTTTGGTCTCTTTCTCTAGTCTAACTTCTACACATGGATATTCAGTGATTTCTAAAGGTGCTTTTTGTCTGGCCTCTTCTATTTCCTCATCACTGACAATAACCCATCCTTCCTCCACTAGTTCTTTCTCAGACTGAGCAGAGCTCTGCACACTGCTTTCCTCTCTTGAGCAGGTTCCGCTTCTCAAGATTTCATTCACTTTCTCTAAATCCTCTTTAACTCTTTCCACAATTTCAAAGGGCTCTCCTGGCTCTTCCTCCGCAGCCTTCACCAGCTCCTTCACTTTAATAGAACCTGCCTTATCAGACACATCTGTGGTCAAGATGGCGGTCATTTTGATCAGATCTTGTTTCATCTCAGAAACTTCAGAGAGCAAGTCCGGACTGGCTAGGACAGGAACTTCATTAACCAGGTGACTTTTCAGGACAGATGTTTCTGTAGATTCTGTCTCATCATCTTTGATGTGAATGAAAAACATTGAAAGTAAAATGGAAATCAAAAAAGATATTGGCAAATGTAAATCAGGACTTTGAAACGACACAGCGTCTTTTTCCTGCCGTGGTGGGAGGGGCAACAGAATGGGCTGGGGATGGTGGATCCACAAGGTCTCAAGGTACAAGAGCAAAGCAAGGCTAACGGAAAAAAAAAAAAAAAACTGAAAAGGAAAAATGAGCAGGAAATAACTTGCTTAATTTTCTCACTTGTAGCACATCCACACATACAACAAAGCTATCACAAATAACCGAGACACAAAAAAACCCATCACAAATCAAAACAAAGAAACAACGCAGTGAAATTACACAGAGGTATCTCAAGATTGTTCAGATGTTACAGATCAATGTCGGAAAAAAAAAAGAAAGAAAAGAAAAATACCATGTGGAAAAAAAAATAAGAAAAAAAGCATTAGAAATTGCAGAGAGTTGACTTCCTCTAGGTGAAAGCCAGCAGTAGCAAACTCAGAATTAACGCGTCCAATGGTGCACATACGTTTTTTAAATCATGTATCTCTGGAATTCAGCATGTTTAGTTCTGCCAATACACAATGATGATAGAAAACATCTGAATTGGCTGCAAACTGGCATTTCATCTAAGGGAAATTCACACCTAACAATGAAACAAACAGTCTTCTGCTAAGAGGCATGGTCCTTTCCTTGGAGCAACCTCCTTGTTTAGACACGGAACTGACAGACCAAGGAGGGAAATAAAGGAAAGGAAAGAAAAACAACAGAAAAACAAAACAAAACCAAAAAACACTGTGATTAAACGTATATGTGAGTCCAGAGTTAAAATGTGAGGCATGGCAACCCAAATCAGAGACAGTCACACGGGACACACGCACAGTTTATGTAAGCCAAGTTATTTCCATGCAAAGCAAAGGTGGAGTAAAACTGCTGGGAGAGGCGGCCTTGCGGGAAAGCACAGGCAGGAGGATGGTGAGGAATTAGAACGAATATGTAAAACGTTACTGTGGTGAAGGATATTCGTTTCCCTACAACGTTTGAACGAAGTATATCTGAAGCACAGATTGTAGGGGTCCACCATCATTAATGGTGAGAAGGAAGGGTTGGTCAAACCTCTAGGATTTAATCCTGAAAAGACTCTAGGAAAGTGACCCTTCAACAGAGCCCTTCTTTGAAGATTATTTTGTACCTACACGAAGACTATTTAGTGGTTGTCTTTAAACTAAAACAAAACTCAGTATTGAGTATATATCTGAGGTTTGCAAAACATTCACTACATCTAGGAGTTCTTCAGGAAAAACCCAGGGCTTTCTAACAGCATGGTTACATTTTTTTTTCTTCTTTTGCAACAACTGAGTCAGATAGATAAAATTTTGATTCCTACTAGGTTGTACACGGGAACAAAAAAATGGGGTCATTTAAATAAACACAATAGTCCTGAATAGGAAAGAAAAAAAATTAAAATCACCTTTAAAAAAAAAAGGAGTCAATGAAGGCAACAATAATATGTCATTGAAACAAAAGTGCCTTCTCTTGGAGGAATTTCTATTTGGTAAGGCAATATGAAATGTGAATCTGCATAATATATCAAGATAATTTATATCAATACAGAGTTGTTCAGTTATTTAAACCACATCCAGAGGCTCAAATATTCTAGTTTTGAATAATGATTTAACATAAGGGTAAGTTTCACTTAAAGCCATTCCAAGAATTTAGTAGTAAATTATATTGTGATAGCAGTTAAAAAAAAAAAAAAGCCCACAGATATAGTATAGGGCCAAGTGACCATATTGAACGTGGCTCTGAGTTTTCTCCTTTTGGGACTATCATCCAAAATAAAGTAAATCAATGTAAATCTTAAAATCAGTAAACCTTAAAAATTAGTATCTTTTTCTAAAGCATTTGGGGCATAAAAGAAAGAAACTGGTTAAATTCAACTTGAATTTCCACACAAGAAGTTAGAGTATCCTCTGGAATTAGGCCAACAAACTAAAATGCCAATTGAATATTATAAAGCCGAAATAAATTCAAGGTAACTCTTCTAGAGTCTGTAAAAATCAGTTCTGACTGTTCTGGGTCAGGTTTGGGATTTTGCATCATTATTTAAAATTAGCCCTATAATAAACCATTGTGGTGATTCATGATTTCATCCAGGAGGTTTTAATCGTTGCACTGCTGACCCCTAGTTGTTTTCTAATTTCTCTTTTCTCAGAAACTTTTCACAGAAGTCTGTCAGATCTCCGCCTAAGGATTTTAGTTAACACTTCACCACAGTAAGGGGTGCAAGGGAGGGACGGAGTGAGTGGAGTTAGCTTCAGCTCAAAACTATTAGACAGTATCACTTTTGCGGGTGCAGCCTACAAAACAAAACAAAAAACAACAAAAACCCCTCTCTATAGAAGTCCCTGATGCTTTATATAAAAAAGTGATACTGTCATATCAATGCTTAAAAAATAATGAGATGATAATGTTAGGCTAACAAATGGACAAAACAGTGGGTGGCATTCTAAACAAGCATAACAGCATACCAGGGTTAACAGGGATGTCAAAAGAAAGTGAATGCTTAGATGAATAATCATTGCATTTTACTGCTAATTAGCTTCACAAATTAGGCATATTTGTAATTTAACTGGCCAAGCTGCTTTTATAAATATATATTAATGATTAATAATATAAAATATAATTATTACAGTGGTTAGTAATAACAACTAGCTTGCATTTTTAACTCATGCTTCTTTTTATAGTAGCCAGCTTTCAAACAAACTCAATTTTATTTAAAATCTTACTTTTTTCAGATGTCATATCGATCTGAAAGAAAACATAACATAAATTGAATGGTTACAAATAGCATCTTTGCTTATAGCCCCTGATGTGCATAATAAGCTCTTATTCGTAATTACGTACATGGGTGACACCACATGCTGGAAGGCTGGAGTTGTTTGCTACAGGTTTTTGTTTTTGTTTTTGTTTTTTTCCCCTGAGGGTCTCAGTGATTTTTATCTTAACTTTGAAAAACATAAATCTCTTTTCTAGATATTAGGGGTAAAAAATCCTAATTATTATTCTTGGGGAGCTATGACCCAGGTTGTGATCAGTATGAGAAATACACATTAGGAAAAAGGCCAGGCAAAGGGTAGAGTTGGCATTAAACAACACGTGTCAATTTAGTGGAAAAAAGAAGAAAATAACCAACAGTATGCCGGGGTAATAGGTTCCACAGAGGTAGTTGAACTGTCATTAAAAATAAGTCAGCATTCTAAACCCTAAAAAGAATATGAACTGCATCTATTGTCCTGATTTGCTTCTGAAAATACTCAATTTAAAAAATCATACATCCAATGGGTAAAATTCCTTTGTGAACATAGCAAAGTTGGTTTCATGGTTTTATTGTTCTTTCAGTATGTGCAGGTACCATTTTCAATAACAGTGGTGACACGGCCACTGTATACAGGAAGGAAGTTAAGGACATGAAAGCGCATATGCAGTTAGGGAAAGAATGATCTCAGTCGGGTCATCGGTTGATATGTGTGTGGCTATGTGGAATAGGCAGCGAGTCTATATTCCTTCCTCCTGTTCTACTTCACTGCCAAGACACCAGACAAAGGGAAATCTGGGAATCCTCTGAACCAAGGCCTTATAGGTTAAGCTGAAGAGTATAAGGTATTAATTATATTTTTTCTTTATGTTTTTGTTTCAAAAGCATTAGAATAACATTTATAAAAGAAACAAGTATATTAAAAATAATGTAGCTGAGCATGGTGGTGCATGCCTATAATCCTAGGCTGAGGCAAGAGAATCTCAAGATCAAGGCCAACCTCAGCAATTTAGCAAGACTCCCATCCCAAAATAAAAAATTTAAAAACGGATGAGGATGTGACTCAGTGATTAAGCACCTTAGAGTTCAATCCTGAGTACCAAAAAAATAAAAAATAAAAAAACCATAACTAGTAATTATTACAATTGTCTTATAAATAGTATTTCCCTATTTCTATCAGCTACCATTTTTAAGTAAATATAAGGAGTTTTCTAATGATTTATTTCATTTCTGTTACAATATTTGGACATTTTCACATTTTATAAGCAAGACAAATACCTATTTGAATTAAATACTAAAATGGATATAATAAAATGGCTATTTATTCTGGGTAACTTCTTAAGACTTGTTTTCCTCATCTGTGGTATAGTACACACCTCATAGGGTGGTTAAGAGAGGTCACACGTGGAGTACTTGATAAAGATCATATTTTATGAGAAATGTTTGGTGTATAGTTCTCTATTACAACATTATTATAGTGTAATCAATGAACTATATGCTCCTAAAAGTTTTTGGTTTGAGTCATTCTCAAACTTATTGATCTTAGGACAACCACACTCCTAAAAATTATTGAAGTTCCTGGAAGAACTTTTGTTTATATGTGATATGCATAAACAAATATCTGCATTACAAATTACAGCTGAGAAAATGCTAGGATCCAATAATATATAAGCATACATCCCATTACTATGGTATCACATATTTATGGCCTCTGGGTACTGCTCTATGGCCTGGTAGGGTATAGGAATTAAAAAGGCAAGTGATACCTTAGCGCTGCTATAAAATGAATTTTTGACCTCCAGGCAACTTCAGACTAACCTTTGAGAACCATTGAGTTCAATAGCTTTTGGAGAAATGTACATTTGGCATAGAGAAAGGACTGAAATTTATAGGGAAACTTAACTATCCTCTGAAGTCAATCCACAAGATGAGAAAACAGGCTCAGAGAGTTTAAATGAAATTGTGCCCCCTTGATTACTAAAAACATTGGTTTATCTCTTCCAAGAACGCATGTGATTGTAGCAATGACACAGCCATTAATTAGTGACACCATCATAAAATTACCTCTTCCTCCTGCTCTTGGTCTGACTCTGACTCCTTGCCGCCCCAACATGCCATGCAAGATGGAAAAAGAGAGAAGGAAGAGTAGAGTGTTTAGAAGAGAAGAGTAAATACCCTGCCAACAAACATCAACAGGCAAGCTTGGAACCAGCATACTCTTATTTTTTTCTTATTAAATTTACAGAAGGCAGACAGAAAATCAAAGAGGACTGATTTAATTCTGTATATTTGCGAGACAAAAGAACAAAAATTACAAATATAATAATTTCAGATGCTAGGTCATCAAGTAGTGATGATGATATCCCAGTCATCACAGAGATTGACTGAAAATGTCAAAAAAAACCCCCTTGAGTACGCAGATGATGAAAACATTTTTAATACATAGGTAATATGTAGGAGTTTTATTATAATAGCATGCTATTAAATTCCAAAGTAGATCTTAAATGTGCAATGCTGACATTTTCTCCTTTTTGAAATTAGTATATAAAAAACTGAATTAGTAAATAAGTTAGTAAATAAAAAATCCTTGACCATCATGGCATTAATAACTGTGTCTGATATGTCTTAATACAAAACCAAGTCAATGTTTTCTCTTACAGCTTATTGAAAGCTTACTGCAAACCAAAGTTTGTTCATCTTTTTTATTTTTATTTTTTTGTCTCTCCACAGTTTTTTGGGGGGCATTATAGTTATACATAATGATGGAATTTGTTATTACATATTTGTTCATGCATGTAATATAACAATATAATTTGGCCAATATACTTCCTAGCACTTCTCCCTACCCGCCTGGACATTTCCTCCACTGATTTCCTTTTGATTTTCATGAGCTCCCCACCCCTACCTTTCTTTTCCTTTTTCCTGTCTAGCGATACAACTTTATGTTGTATCACATAAAACTCCTTCATCTTTGTGTATCACTCAGGTGGCTTGAATATATTTTTTTATGGTTCTTAATTGGCATTCTGCTTCCAGTGACTCACCAATATTCAGTACCACAATCTGAAGAGTACATTCTGCCTCACTGGAGTACAGTTAGATTATACTCATTTGGTCAATATAGCAATGCTACATTCCAATTTGGGGAATAACATGTATATTTACATATGTAAATATTTTAATTTTTTTAGTCATTTAATAATACTTTACAATGTCAAATATGATGCTTTTAGCTTTTGTCTATGTTATTTTGGTTTACATAATTAATTATCCAAAATTTATAATTCGACAATCACGGTGGATAAAATAAGAAAGAAAATTCTTTGTTTTGTGGAGTGAAGACTTAGGATTTTAAATATATCCCTCCTTCTCAGCAGCCACCACCCATCCTCTTTCCCGATCTATAATGTGCACACTGACAACCTGCTGTAGCCACCTACAGATTGCCATTGGGAGCTTCCCATTTAAAAAGGGATATTGGTTTCAAATTTTTTTGAAAAACTTAAAAATAATTTTAAAAAGTTATTTACAACATTTAACTAATTCAGTTGTCATATGTGATGTAACCAGAGTACTTAAAGATTTATATAACTGGGAAAGGTTTGAGAAGAAAGTAATGCCTAGGTAGACTTTGTGTCAGAAGTGAGTCACTTTTTTTCCTTTTCATCAGTGTTTCCAGTGTTATTTCTTGTAGCACAGGGACATTTTTTATACTGACATGTTAAAATAATTGAAAAATTAATTTATTACTCCTAAAACAGGATAGATTATGGTATTTGAACAAAAAATAAAATATCATGAGATTATCCTGAATTTAATAATGTATTATCTACATGTGAATTGGTTGTAAGCAGAGCCAAGAGACTCCAGTATTTTGGTAGGGCTAATTGCACTAGAGTGGTCTCAGGACAGCACATGGAAATAAAGCTAATCATTTTATTTTTTTAAAAAATTGGTTCAAAATGTTAAAACTCATATCCTATTTCTCTCTTCCATATTCAATATGTTGATAAAATTTTTCATCAAAGTACATTTAATGCAAAGTTAGGAGAAAATACTTCTTCCTTTATTTGAATGGAAAAATCCTAAATTCAACAGGTTAACAAAAGTGATTGTTACATGTGCTTACATTCACTGCCTTTATTTTTGTTCATTTCAAAGGATTTGAATTCAGTTTCTACTCTGTCTGAATAACACTACAGCAAACATTACGTACCTTCATATAAATCGGCAGGGTGATGTTTAAGTTACAAATAGCTTGATGCACCAGGCCTCTTGTGGATTTGGGCTCCTTCATAAATGATAGTCGTCCGCAAGGTTCCTGAGTTGTATCGCGTACCTTGAACAAGAACAACATTTAGTTCACCTATATTTAACATGTACTCTTTATTTCATTTAGGCAATATTTAAAGGGGTAAAATAAAATTCATTTGTTAATGCTCAGTAAAAATTCAAAGGTCTTCCTCCTCCCCACACTCATTTAGAATAACTTTTTAAAAAACATTTAGCTATATCCAGCTTTATGAAGTATGATTGACAAATAAAACTTTTATATATTTAAAGTACCCAAATGTGATGATTTGATGTATATATCTATGTATTGTTAAATAATTATTATAATCAAGCTCATGAACATACCTATCACCTCATCTGGTTATTGTCCCTCTTGTCTTGAAAACACTTAAGACCTCTCTTGGGAAGTTTCAAAATACAACACATTATTATCAACTACTGTCACCATATTGTATACAAGATCTCAATCACTTATTAAGCTTTTTAAAAAACCATGGTAAGATATAACATAAAATTTACCATTGCTACTATTTGTAAGCAGATGAGTCAGTGGCAGGAAGCACAATTCTAGAGCTGTGTGATCATCACCACTATCTACAACTTTTCATTACCCTACAATAAAATTGTCCCCCTTATACAATAACTTCCCAGTCCTCCACCCTGATAGCCTCTATTCTACTTCCTTTCTCTGTGAATGTGCCTATTCTAGTTCCTTGGTAATGGTGGAGTCATACAATATTCTCTGTTTTATTTTACTTAGCATATTCTCAAGGTTCATCCATATGACAGTTTCAGAATTTCATATTTTACTGTGGTAATACATTCATAACATAAGACTAATTGTTTCACCATTTTTAGATCTTTAATTCTGTGGCATTTGGTACATTCACATTGTTGTATAACCAAAAATTACCACCCCACCTGACTTCATTCAGAACTTGCCGACCTTTCCAAACTGAAACTCTGTGTATATTAAACAATAATTTCCCATTCCCTCCATCCCCTGCTCCTGGTAACCACCTTTGCATTTTCTGTCTTTGTGAATTTTGACTACTCTAAGTACCTCATATAGCAAAACTATACAATATTTGTTCTTCTGTGTCACTTATTTCATTTAGCCTATTGTTCAAGTGTCATCTATATTGTTGCATGTATCAGAACTTCATTCATTTTAAAAGCTAAATAATACCTTTGTGTATGTATGTTTGTTAATCTATTTATCTACCCACTTGGGTTGTTTCCACTTCGGGGCTATTGTGGAAAATGCTGCTAAGAACACTGGTGTGCTATTAACACTTTCAGTTCTTTTGGGAGCAAACCTAGAAATGAAACTACTGGATCATATGTACTTAATATTTTGACAAAATATCATACTGTTTTACACAATGACTACATTACTTTATATTACCATCAACAGTGTAAGTAAGGTCCACATCCTTGCCAACATTTATTTATTTGATAGGATTTATTTTAATAATAGCCATTTCATGGGTATAAAGTAGTATCTTATTGTGCTTTTGATGTGCATTTCCCTAATTTGTTGAACATTTTTTTTCATGTGCTTATTGGTCGTTCTTATACCTCTTTGGAGAATATTTTCATATTGGGTTTCTTGTTGGATGACTTTTGCACATCCACAATATCAAATATTAGCTTAATTATATAGATGTCTTTACTAAGTGGGTCCATTACTTTTCAGCACTACTGTATAATGAGGTTGTCTTTAAGAACCTATCATTCATCAGGCAAAACAACAGAAGCAGAAGTAGCATAATGGATAATCTTTAGAGATCTTGGGCAGATTTATTAAACAGGTTTGCAGATGCATGTTTTGAAAAATCATGAGGTGTTAAAATAACAAAAGGAGTCATTGCTGATGAACAGTTTGGGAAGTTAAAGCTTGAAGAAGGACTATGGGGGGAAGGGAGCAGAGACTAGCCTATGCCTTGTGAGGACTAAACATTAAGAAATCTAGAATAGTGAAATAAGTTGTGAGAAATAGGAAAGAAAATAAGCAAACAGAGTAGAGTTTTGTTTTATCTCATGAATGTCATTCATAGGCTGTGCTCCTCTTTAGAATTGGAATCTAGGCCCTAACTTGAATTGACATTCCTAAAACACAGGCAGCACATTGATGGTGCACTGACCTGTCATCATAACGTTTGTTGGATGAATATACGAAAATACATCAAATCAATAGCTCTATCTGGGATGATTTCTTATTAGCCTAAGTGAGATTCTGAGTCTCTTTTTTTTGACAACAAAAAAGTTGTCAGAACTCTTTTGGTCTCCACACTTCTGAAATTCACTCATATTTTTAAAATTTAAGCCTAAATATTTAAAAATCATTAGTCTATTTTTTAAAAAATAGACTCCCCCTCAAATTTTGAAGAGTAGCCAGTGTTTCTAATTAATGAGTCAGCTATTATTTATTCTTATTCTCCTCCTTAAACATGGTCTATAACTAAAACTTAAAGTTGACTCTGAACTCCAAAAATAAAAATATTTGATTTTCTAGAACCATTACATTTTACAAACAGACTAAAAAAAAAAATCTGGGAATAATTGAAAGGCAAATATTCTCCACTATGAAGGAAGTCAAAACTTTTCTGGATCTTGAATAAAATACATTACAAAATTCCATGCATACATTACCTTGACAAAGAGGGGAAGTCTGTTTTCTTTAAAGGCAAAAAAACTGAATATGTGGTGTTGGCCACTCTTGGTTAATGGCACCAGGTTGCCGAAGCAATCAACGTAGATGGGCTTTCCTTCTAATACCTGGGTGAAATGGAGAAAAATAACAGAACAAAAGAGTTGCAATTATAGTTTATTATTTACACAAAGAAAGCAGCAGTGTTACTGCTTGGCGTTTTACATTCTTAAAATATACATATAATAATCTTTACGCTGCCAAATGACAATTTGTCTTATATGTGACAAGGTATAGAACTTTTTCTTCTTATTGGTAATGGAAATCTTCAAATGCAAGGAAACATTAATGCTCTCATTTCTATCACTGTACCACAAACCAATAGATATTTAATTTTTAAGTTTAAAATTCTAATTGGCTAATTTTTGACATCACAATGAGTCAGATTACTGGACATCAAACTGATGGGGAATTCTGAAATAAGAATAAGTAATGTGAAAAAGCCCTGGGTATCCTATATGAACATTTACACAAAAGGAAGAAATTCTCAGATTGTTTTCTTTACTAAATAAATAAATAAATAAATAAAAATCTTAATTTATTTATTTTAAATAAAAAAAGAACATCCAGGAAAACTAAAACAATCTCAACTGCTACAGTCACATATTTTGAGTTTATCAATAACTCATAGTTGTTCTTCAAATAATCTTCAAAGGAACCCTTTTATCTTCCCACATTCACTGAGATCATCTCTATAGGACAGGTCTAAATTGGCTGAAAAGAGCTGATTTTATTTATTTGTAGTGATGGAAATCCAACCTGGGCCTTGTGCATGGTAGGCAAGTGCTCCACCACTGAGTTATATCCCCAGCCCCAGAAAATGGCGGATTTTACCTGGATGTTTTTTAATGACTTTGTTCATAATATTATATTTGAAATATAAGTCTAATGACAGAACGGCAACATAGATTATCTGTATTTTTAATACAGTACCTCCACATCCCTGCTTCTGGCCACTTCAGCGAAGTTTTCTTGTTGTTCAAGGGTCTTATCCACTTTATCATCAGTCATGCAGAAACATCTCAATCTGGCTTCAATGGGGTCATGTGATTTGGCAAACACGACAAATTTGGCCATGTAAGGTACACAGATAATTTCCCTGTACACTTGTGATGCAAAGGTAACGGATTCCTGTATCTGTCGACAATCTATCAGCCAGAACCTAGAAAAATAAATAAAAACGATTATTTAAAGTGTACCCCTTGAAAAAAAAACCAGTTCCATTAATATGATCAGAGTAGTCAACAAGTACTTCTTGGAATAAGAAGAAGGTGAGAGCAGGAATAATGAAAGGAAGCTGAAGGAAAGGGAAAGAAACAAGGATGGCAGGATAGAGAGGAGGGCAGAGGGAGCAAGGGGAAGGGAGCTGTACCAGGTTTCTAAGACCAACTATTAAATACTGTGTGTTTTCCTTCCTTGGAAACAATTCTATGTATTCAATCCTCTGAAACACACCTGTGGTGTTTTAGAATTCTCCAGTGGTGTAAGCCCAGCCTCAGATTTGATAGGGGTCCCACTGAATGAGTTCCTATTTCCCCTCTTAGTCTACATTGCATTTCCTGAAGCTTTTCAACAACATTTGCTGTGTTTCTTCATCTCATTATTCTTTTCCAAGCAGCACTCCAATAACTAAGATTGTATCAATTCAACCATTTAAAAATTCGGCTCCTGAATGGCAGTTTTTGCTCTGATATAATTTTTCCCAGTACAGCGAGGTTGCTGGCCCTTTATGACTCTCCTTGAGCTTCACCCTTACCGCAAGATGGAGAACTTGAAGAAGAAAGTAGAGGCCATCAGATGGATATTTTCTCAATTTTGTCCTTTCTACCCTTCCAAAGGTTTCTTACATAAAAAATTTTGTATTCATTAAACCATAACTTCCCATTTTCCTCCTCACTCTAGCCCAGGATAAACTCTATTCTACTTCCTGTCTCTATGGATTTTCAGTTGGCATAATGTTTTTAAACTTCAGTGTAGTTCCTGGCTCATGGCAGGGACACAAAATTACCTTCCTCTTTCTACTAATCTAACTACACTCACTGTTTCTTATAACCTACAAGTTAAATTATTATTACAAAGACAGTCATTTTGTGGTATTTTAAATTTATATATTTATTTCTCCCATCTTATCACAAAAGAGTTTATTTCTTCTACAACATTTTTTTTTTTTTAGTTTTATTGTTGTTCTTGTAGTATTTTCATTTTGGACACAGCTGTGCATTCTTTTCTTTTTCTTTCTTTTTTTTTTTTTGGTATTTTTTAACTGAGAAGTTACAAATTGTACAGTGACTCTTCATTTCTTTACATTATTAAAGGCTTCTAAAACGAGTGTTGCCAGCAACATTCCAGCATTATTTCTGAGTTCAAGATGATATCAATCCTTATTCTATCCCCCAATGCACCCTCTGAATTTTGTCTTTGCATTTTTACTCATCTTATATTCTTATCCAATTTCATGTGGCTGTGAGGTACTGACACATACTTCAAAGGTAATCTCTTCTCAGATCCTCTCAAACTACTAGTACAACACCTTCTTCTGAATTCTTTTAGTACCTCTGGTCTGTCTCTCTCATTCAGAACTGGTAATCTTGGGGCCTTAGAGTACAGGTGCCAGACTGGCAGAACACGCTGAAGCATGGGCAGGAAATTAAATAGTTGGGCCCTCTGGAGAAGGAACTATAAGACTATTGCTGGAACTGTTACTTAACAATTCATGCATTTTTATCTTTTCTTGTCCCCATAGGAATTTAAGCTTTAACTACTCTCAACTTCAGTTTTCCTAAAATAGACATAAATGCTTCTTGCCCTACTTAAGTCACAGCATTATTATAATATCAAATTAAAGAAATGTGAAGAGGCTTAACAAAGACTATTCAGATGGGAACCGATATTAAAAATGGAGTTAACCTGTAAATAAGAAAGATAGCTTCAGCTTTTTAAAGATATCCAACACAACAACGGGTAATATGCAAATGTATTAGGATGCAAGAGAGACTCTAAAACCACTAAGCCATTTTAAAGCAAACTATGGCAGGCTTTGTGCTTTTGTTATTTTGTTGAAAAAGTAATTTAGACTGGGCATGGTGGATACGCCTGTAATCCCACTGGATCCAGAGGCTGAGGCAGGAGGATCATGAGTTCAAAGCCAGGCTCAGCAAAAGCGAGGTGCTAAGCAATTCAGTGAGACCCTGTCTCTAAATAAAATACAAAATAGGGCTGGGGAATGTGGCTCAGTGGTCAAGTGCCTCTAGGTTCAATCCCCGGCACCCCTCTGCCAAAAAAAAAAAAAGAAAGAAAGAAAGAAAGACAGAAAAAGTAATTTAGGATATTTTGTTGACAACAGGAAATTTCTCATTCCTAAGACCTTTGAACTGGAAAAACAGCAGTGGCTTCTAAAGCCAGAGTCACAATCATTCAGCCCAAGCAGAGTCACTCATTTTGCTTAGATTTTCATCTGACTTTCAGACTTTGTTATAGTAGTGCCACTATTACATTTGTTGGTAGATCTAGTTTAAAAGGTGAAAGAAAATGTTGAACTTACTTAAAAAAAATAATAATCACTGTTAAAGAATTAAGAAGCCAAATAAAACAACAACAGGAATAATTTGAGGGGGAGGGAGAGTACAATGGGCTTTTCTGGCCTGCACAGCTTACCTGGCAGACACATTAGTTGTAAAGGAAACACATTCATTGACAAATGTTAGGGGTGTGGTTCCTGTAATGTCTTCCCACTGCGCAGGGGTGGTTCCACCTGAAATAACACGATTGTGGAAGAAAGTTAGGCAAAACTCCAGACTCTGGGTCATAAAATAAAATCTCTGTGGTTCTGGCTGTGTTCATGCACGTAATCCCACCCATCCCTCAAAATGACATATTGAGAACAAAATGGCAAAACTATATGCTAAAAAAAATGACACGTGGAACACAAGCAGCAGACACCACCATTCAAGAAACTAAATTTCAGGGAGGTTGTTTGAATAACTGTTTATTAAGTGTTCCATTCTCTGCCTGACGTTCTGAAGCTTTTGTCATAATTGCTAGGCTTTGAAGGTGGTTTTAGATCATATATCATTTAGATCATTTTAAAAGATCCAATTAAAGAGTTTCAGGAATAAGAGAATATTTAGATTGTTTATTATTTTAATATCTATAAATACTAAATATCCAATATTTAGTATTTTCTTATTCCTGAACTTCGCATTCTGTACAACCATTTTTAAAAGATGAAATTTCCTATCCACTTGAAATTGAAGATTGGAAAAAAAGAATACCTGAAAAATATTAAGAGCTCAATATATTCTGCAGGACAAATGAACAAATGGCAGAGATCAGCCTTTGCATATAGGTAGATCATCATGAGGGCCAGTAACCTCTTATCTTATTTCTACTGAGCAGTGAGGAGGTATATATGTCTGAGATAGAGACAGACCTTGACTCTAAGAGGGAAATGGCTTATCAAAGAAAGATTACAGATGTTTACTCCATTAGGCCTTTAAGATATATATTCTTGGCAGAATTATAGAATATAAAAAATACAAAATTCTATGCACATACATATTTTTGAAATCAACACATAAATGTACTAATTTTTCAAACTATTTTAAATTTTAAAAATTGTTTAGTAAAAGCTCATTTGAAGACATGGTGGATGGTATCTAGGCCTATGTGGTACCTTCAGGGTACACCACAGACAACTTCTCTCTCCCATTTCACATCCATAGCATCAGGTAGCACACCATAGTGGGGATAATTATACACCCACACTACAAAAAGTATGGGAAAGACACTGAGAAATACTCAGTGATAACCGGAAATAAGCAATTGGAAAAAAAGATGATACGTGAAGCAGATCATTCCTCCCTCTACTCATTACAGTCGACAGAGAGTTAAATTTTGTCACATTATTAAACTTATGGCATAATCTTGATGGTTTCTCCTTCCTAAGTATACAAAACACAATAATAAGGGAGAAATAGAGAAGGAGAAATAAATAAGGGTGAACATTTCTGTCAATACGAAGGAGAAATGAAAAAAAAATTGAACAATACCAAAACAACCATAAATGGCTATTTTTCCTTCTGATGATAATATTGATATTTTATTGAATGCCAACACTGTAATTACTGATATATTTGGAAATTATCAAATTACATAGCCCTAAAACAAATTATTTGTGTGGATGTTTTTGCCTCTATCTATGGTGGTTTAGGGAATATCTTTGGAGAGCTTGATAGTTGTCTGAAAGCTACTATAACTATGAATTAAAGAGACCAAAAATCTGTTAATTACTAGAAAACCTTTACTTTGTTTCTCCAAAGCTAGTTCAATAAATCAGTGATAAAGACATGAGCTACCCTAGAAAGACCAGTTGGGTTGAACCACTGGGTAAAATCAGAATGTTCTTTTCCACACAGTAGATATAAAGGGTTGTCTTCTGTGAAGACATGAAGCCTGGGCTGGGGAGATATCTGGCACGGGGTTTGAATACCAACTCTTCCAAATATTTAAGGCATAACTCAGGTATGCTATCCATTTTTCTTTAATCTTGGTTTCTTTTTTGCCAAAATGGGGTTAAAGTTTACTTATAGGGTTAATTGGGTAGAAATGACAATTCATATATAGTATCTAAGTCTCACATACAGACTACATTTAGTAAATAAGAATTCATTTCCTTTTGGTTTTCGCTTCCCGAATCAATTAAAAATGCTTTTCCTGAATTAATGCATATAACCCAGGAAGCATCTTATGACAAAGGCAATTTAATTTTTATAATTAAGTTTCTTTTTTTCAGAACTCTATACTATAACATGGTCATATATGACTCACCTGTTATGCTGCATAACAATCTTAAGGTTGGTGCATCTCCCCCAAAACCATTCAGCATGACATCACTTGAAGCTTTGGGGACAGGAATGGTCATGGTGATTGGCTTGTGGAATTTTCTTCTTCTAGGTTCCAAAGTGACTATAGGGCTGAAGGTAGCTTTGTTGCCAAGGATCTTCTTAACCAATTCACTGTGCATAGGTTGAGCCTTTTCAAAATAAAGAAAAATATTAAAATAAACCATATATTATTACGTTTAATGTCAATATCCTATCTAAAGCATTGCTTTTCATTTCACAAATCAGTTTGTGAGACTTTAAATATGGCAATTCCAAGTTTCATATTATTACCAAGCACGCATGTAAATTTGTAAGACCTGTGATCTCCCATAGTTACTTTGGCGCCCCCTGGAATAATTTGATTATTTAACATTTTATTTTCTATTTGAAATGCTCATTTTTAATCAAAGGAATAAATCCACATGAGGATCAACTACATCCAATATGGGTGTACCTGTAGGCCTACACGGATCCTCTTGGTTAGTGCTCCCTCTGGGAAGACAGCCTGCACCTGGGGTACCACCGTACTGCTCAGCACACCTCCCTCTGGGCCAATCAGGTTGCTGTCCTGTTTGATGCGAGACACCACTGCAAAGTACTGGGGGAAGTCACGTGTGATGATGCGGCAGATTCGCTTCTTCTCTAGGTCTTCTGGGCTATCCAGCACTGAGACAAGAAATACCCATCTTCATGCAGCAAGGATTTCCTTCTGATAGCATTCTAGCAAACTCATTGGCATAGTTAATAGTGAATAGAAGTGGCATCAAAACTTTTTTTTTTCAAGTAATAGAAAAATTTATTAAGCAAGGTTACTCTGACACTAGAAAAAATAAATAATAAACATTACAGTCTTTTAAGACCTGTCAGCATTCAGCTTGTACATTTTCTTTCTTTGGGAAAACTAGGACTTTCCAGGGCACTGTGAAAGGAAAGCATCTCATACCAGCTGCAGTCCTCCAGGGCTGCCTTTGTAAATGAGGGCATATGAGGGCAAACCTGGAATGACAACGAACCTCTTCTATTCTTGGTTCGTGTGATGGAGAGGAGGTTGTGTATGAACTCCTTTTGTTTGCAGAATTCAAAGTTAGCTCATGACCAGTTATTGTGGTTTTAAGAAATAATATGGCCTTTTGGATTCTCAAGGGAGTGGTACAGGAATAAAATCTGTCTTGAAAGGGTAAGGTTTGTGTTTATGTGTTTATTCTAGTGAGATGGGTGTCTCTGTGATAGTTCCTGTGGCTATAAAAAAAGATGCATGCTTATGATTTCTGAGTCTCAATATTCCTCCAATGCCAACAACTTACCAAATATGCCATCTAACTTCACAGGGATAGGGTCGTGTACTCTTTATAAGTTGCATTAGTGTAGATATTTAGGACAACACAAAAAATCAGGCGGATTTACAATGTAGAAAATTTGAACTAAGTCGATCACTGAATTTTAAGGGATTATGAAGAGTCATTCACTTTTAGAACACATTTACAATTCATAATACAAGGCAGAAAAAGTATGTTTTTTGATTATTGATTATAACTAGTTACTATAAAAGTCCCAGGATTTGATCCTACAGATATAATTAAAGACTAATACACTGGCAAATACTATCATATACTTACAAAAGAATATATTTAAAAACAGACAAACATATGAAAATATGATTCTTCATTTAAAATATACTTTTTACATACATAAAAAGTTATGAGAGTGGGTCCCCATCAAGGGCAAGATGCCAGTGTTGAAGGATAGATCAGTGACCAGCAAACATCTCAGAGAAAAGTATACTAAATCTACATGCTAGCAAAAGAAATTGTCCCCCAAAATAAAAGTGGCCTAAATATTGCAAGGAATAAGCTTTTTTTTGGGGGGGGGGTTACTGGGGATTGCACTCAGGGGCATTCAACCACTGAGCCACATCCCCAGCCCTAATTTATATTTTATTTAGAGACAGGGTCTCACTGAGTTGCTTAGCACCTTGCTGTTGCTGAAGTTGGCTTTGAACTTGAGATCTTCCTGCCTCAGCCTCCTGAGCCACTGGGATTACAGTTGTGCAACCATGGCGCCCAGGTAGGAATAAGTTTTATCAATCAGAATTCTGATCCTTTCTACCTTACTTGGAAGATGATAATAATTTCTTCTTCCATCCCCTCTTTGCATAAGAAATGCTGTTGTCACTTAGGCAAAGAACTTGCCTTATTTCTTCTAGTTTCTTTAAGTGGATTATGCCTCATTTTAGGACATGGGCATTTTCTCTGTGCAACTTGTGGTGGCCTAAGAATGAGCAACTTCCCTTTAGTCAAACAGAGACATTTCAACCTATGGATTAATGGCCAAAGACAAATTTGGGATTTAGAGATTTAAATTCTAATAAAAAAACTAAGTTCCTCCCTTTGCAGATTTTCATTGTTGTTTTTCATTTCCTCATCGTGGAATATTTTGCCAAGAATGTTCTGTAGTGCAGGTTTTCTTGCTGTAAATTCTTTTAGCTTTTGTTTCTCGTGGAAGGTTTCTATTTCATCATCAAGTTTGAAGCTTAATTTTTGCTGGATATAAGATTCTTGGTTGGCATCCATTATCTTAGAACTTGGTATATGTTGTTCCAGGATCTCCTAACTTTGAGAGTCTGGGTTGAAAACTCTGCTGAGATTCAATTGGTCTTCCTTTATAGGTAATATGATTTTTCTCTCTTGGGGCCTTTAAAATTCTATCCTTAATCTGTATGCTAGGTATTTTCATACTTGGGAATAAATTTAATGAAAGAGGTGAAAGAACTCTACAATGAAACTACAACAAACACGTTAAAGAAAGAAATAAAAGAAGACCTTAGAAGATGAAAAGATCTACCTTGGTTTTGGATAGGCAGAATTAATATTGTCATAATGACCATACTACCAAAAGCACTATACAGATTCAATGCAATCCCAATCAAAATCCCAATGTCATTCCTTATAGAAATAGAAAAAGCAATCATGAAATTCATCTGGAAAAATAAGAGACCAAGAATAGATAAAGCAATCCTTAGGAGGAAGAGTGAAGCTGGTGGCATTACTATCCTAGACCTAAAACTATACTACAGAGCAATAGTAACAAAAATAGCATGGTATTGGCACCAAAATAGACCTGTAGACCAGACCAATGGTACAAAATAGAGGACACAGAGTCTAACCCACATAACTTTAGTTATCTTATACTTGACAAAGGCGCCAAAAACGTACATTGGAGAAAAGATATCCTCTTAACAAATGGTGCTGAGAAAACTAGAAATCCACATGTAACAAAATGAAATTAAACCCCTATCTCTCACCATGCACAAAACTCAACTCAAAGTGGATCAAAGACCTAGGAATTAAACCAGAGACCTTGCACCTAATGGAAGAAAAAGTAGGCCCAAATCTCCATCACATCAGATTAGGCCCCAACTTTCTTAATAAAATTCCTGTAGCACAAGAATTAAAACCAAGAATCAACAAATGGGTTGGATTCAAACTGAAAAGCTTCTTCTCAACAAAAGAAACAATCAGTGAGGTGAATAGAGAGCCTACAGAATGGAAGCAAATCTTTACCACAAGCACATTAGATAGAGCACTAATTTCTAGAATATATAAAGCACTCAAAAACCTTAACACCAAAGAAACAAATAACCCAATCAATAAATGGGCCAATAAACTGAACAGACCACTTCTTGGAAGAAGATATACAATCAATCAACAAACATGAAAAAATGTTCAACATCTCTAGCAATTAGAGAAATGCAAATCAAAGCTACTTTAAGATTTCATCTCACTTAGAATGGCAGGTATCAAGAATACAAACAACAATAAGTGTTGGCGAGGCTGGGGTGGGGGGAAGTCACACTCATACATTGCTAGTGGCACTGCAAAATGGTGCACCCAATATGGAAAGCAGTATGGAGATTCCTTGGAAAACTGGGAATGGAACCACCTTTTGACCCAACTATCCTACTCCTTGGTTTATACCCAAAGGACTTAAAAACAGCATTCTACAGGGACACAGTCATATCAATGTTTATAGCAGCACAATTCACAATAACTAAATTATGGAGTCAATCTAGATGCTCTTCAGTAGATGAATGGATAGGGAAACTTTGGTATATATACACAATAGACCATTATTCAGCATTAAAAGAGAATGAAATCATGGCATTTGCAGGTAAATAGATGAAATTGGAGAATATAATGCTAAGTGAAACAAGCCAATCCCCAAAACTCAAAGGCCAAATGTTTTCTTTGATATGAGGATGGGGTTTGATATGGCAATGGGGGGTGGGGGGAGTATGGGAGGAATGGAAGAACTTTAGATAGGGCAAAGGGGAGGGAGGGGGAAGGAGAGGGCAAAGGGGTAGGAATGATGGTGGAATGAGTTAGACATCATTACCCTAAGTACACGTGTAAGACATGAATGGTGTGAAAATACTTTGTATACAATCATTGAAAAATTGTGCTCTATATGTGTAATATGAAATAAACTGCATTCTGCCATTATGTGTAACAAATTAAAATAAATTTTAAAAAATGAAAAAAAAACTAAGTTCCCCAAGTTTATATGTATGTGTATGTATGCAATTCAATCCTAGCTAACTCCTTATTTGAATTATAGGTAGAAGATTGAATGAACCTAATTTCCTACTGCTTTAATAATAGAAAGTTTAAAAAGAAATTAGATAATTCTAGAATGTACTAGTGATGGAAAGATGCAAGTTTTCCAACCGAAGAGCTTAGCATTTTTTACCATTATCTTAAATATATATAGTTTTTCAAGTTAGGCATTAAAAAAAACATACTTTTCCATTTAATATCACTTCATTCTGTCATGGGGCAACAATGTCTGTTCTACCACTAGTTTTAGATTCAAAGAAGTTTGCATTAAAGCTTGCTGTATCTCCTTTTAAAATGCTATGCTTGCTATCTTGAAGGATTTTCTTTTCTGAATGTAACAGGAGGAGAATTAGGCAAATGTGTTGAGTACCCTGCCTCACCACCATTGGAACACAGCAGATAGCTTCTGTAGAAATACATCACAAGGGACACACACACACACACACACACACACACACACACACACACACACACACATACACCTCACAAATCACTGGACTATAAGAAAGAAATGCAATATATTCATGCTTCCATTTTTCCTTTCTTTTAAATCCTTTAATCTGAAGGTACCTTCATCCATGCCGTTAAGGATTTCATTCAGTTCATCTTCGGTGTATTCACAGAAATGCTCTTTCCAGCTGTCCCCATTCTCACTGCGCAGGACCACCAGTTCCCTCTCCTTTCCTCGAAGGGCCGCAAAGTGGGGGATCTCCACGATCACAGGCCTGACATAGCAATGCAGAACATTTAGTGTGGACAGGAGCCAACCAACAGCAAGACAAGCACCTCGACTCTGTCTGTTGCAAAGTGACCTGGAATTCTGCTCTTCTGGGGACAGGAACATAGTGGGCCATCCTCTGGAGCCCATTAGTTAGCAGATGGTCGCACAGTGGCACTCCACCTCAGGGGCACCGATCCTCACGTACATGCTGCTACCTTAAGCCAATGTTTCCCTGTGAGTGCATGTGGCATTCTGGAACTTCTCCTTTGATAAATGTAAGTATACACATTTAACCAAAAGAAATGTACATGCATATCTACGATGTATGCCAATCTCCTAAAACATTTTCTACAAGGTGCAAAATGACAAAATGGTTTAAGAGGAAAAATGGCTCATACATTGCATAATTTGATGTGTCGTAAATGAGGAGATGTCATAAAGGTAGACTACGTGTGCTAATGAGCCATGCACTCATGGGTTTTGCTTGTATTGTCTTCATTCAAGGAAACAATAGGCATGTGCACACAGCGTGGCCCTGATTGAGCCCCTCCACTGGCAACCCAAGTGTGTCCAATGCCTATTATAGTCAGGATTCAGAACATGCACCATCCTGCAATTTTTAGGTCAAATTCATTCTCAAAATATATAGAGGCTCTTGATTTTTGAGTCCAGGTTGCTTTGATACAGACTCCAAACTCGTCATAACAACATCATAACTAGCACATAGTACAACTAGGCAGATCTCATGCTTAAACGAAAATGAAGGTCACAGCACTTTAAGGGAAAAGATATAAAAACATCACTCAAAAATAAAAGTCACATACCACAAGGGTCAGAAATGGTCCACTAAAGATAGGTTATACAGAGTTTAAATCATAGGGAGGGACATGTCATGGGCACAATGACGAAAAGAGAAATCATATTGCAGAAGAAGGAGAAGAATGGGGGGCCAGCAGCCATCAATTTGTTTTAAGTCACTCCTACCCAAGGAATTTGGTTCCAGGAGGCCCCAGCTGAAGGATGCGGCTGACCAAACTTTCTCCCTCATTAAGTGGGGGAGGAGCCGTTGGCAGGTGAAGTTTACTGAGTACATCCAAAGCAGCAGTGAAAGAAAGAACATAAGTAAGCTTTAGGTATTGTCTTCCACAGAACCCCAGCGTCGCCAGCTGATCCACAGGGTGAACTTTGGTTTCACTCTGCGTTTGGTTCTGCCCCCTCCATTGGTCACAATGAGCAAGGAACCGAGACCCAGAGTGTACAATGGAGGCGCATCTGTGCGAGGACAGCACCTGGCTGTCAGATCAGTCCCTATCAGGTTCACTGCCAGGGCACTAGCCAAAAAAAAAAAAAAAAAAAAATAGAAAAAATGTTCCATGGGAAAGACAAAGCTGTTGGGAATATAATAAAAACTCTGCTCCGTACAGAGGCCAGATGTTTTCATGGATATTCCCCAACAGATTTGAAGATTATTTAAAAACCTACAACTACCTGAACAGAGGGTAAGTATGAAAAGAATCATCAGGGAAAACTCGAAACATAATGGCATTTTCTGATGCAACCCAGAACTTCACAGGCTCCTTCTAAGGCTCTGATCCATCTGATAGAAGGACATGGGAGGTGGTTTCTACAATTGGGAAATACTAACACACCCTTTTTCAGGTGTGAAAGTAATTTGGAGTAACCTGTTAACTGTTTGCTCCAAATTACAGGCTTTAGAACCTCTCCTGAGTTCTAAAGCGAGAAATCCTCTCCCCAGTATGACACCGACAACACGAAAGAGTTCATGATTAATAAGGTTTCTCCATTTTTTTTAAAGCACCAAGACTTGATATGACAAGACTTAAATACAATTGATTTGTTTCAATATGTTTTGAAACGTGTCCCCCTCCACAACTTCATCCTTTGGTCCACTTTCAGGGATAGCTATTCCTTTCTTGACACATTGAGATGCCACTTAAAATAATAGCAGCCGTACAGACAAACAGAAGAAATAAGAAATGCTAATTTCTGCTCAAAATTGCCAAAATGACCTCGGGTGGAAGTTAGTCTTGATGATTGCACCTTAAAACACGCTGTGGCTAAATAGACAGCTTAGTTTAATGGTAAGGCTCAAGGTAGCAATTTTGATATCAGAAAAAACAAATCACATGTGTTCGATTTTTGGATATTCCATAAAGGCAACACTGCTTTTCAAAATGAAGATAATGATTCTGCGTCAAAAAGGACATGAGGCTATAAATACATTTTTGTTTGGAATAGAGCAGTGTTTTTCTTTTTTTCTTTATACTTTGCCACTTAAGTCTCAGGTGAGAAAAAAAAATACCTACCATCAACTAAAATATGGTTACTTGCAAAGGGAATCTGGCAGGTCTGATGACATCCAAAGAGAGAGAATAATAATCAGCCTGAGTGTTTAACTCCTAAATGCCTTAAAAGAAGAGGCATGCAAGTGGAGTTGAGCATTCAGGTCTGACTTCCAATTTTTAAAAATTTCATAGGAGCCGATCCTCTTTCAAAGTGGTTTGACGTACCTGTTTTCATTCCATCCTAGTGATTTCATGTAGAGGACACAAGCTCATCGGTGTCTAAGTGGGAGGCTTATCAGAAACCCTTACCCAAGGAACTGAGCACCAGAAGGTCCGACTTCGATCAGGCGGCTGGCCAGGCCTTCTCCTTCCACCATTGGAGGCATGGTCGCCAATCTGTGGCGTTTGACCAGCCGGCAGGTGACTCGTGTTGGGGCAGTACATTTCCGAGGTGGGATAATGATTCGGAGCCCATTGTGTCTGCATCCTCGCATGGCGCCACCTCGGGCATCCACCATAAAACTAACCAGGAAGCTAAAAATTAAAATAGAATGTCAGATAGTTTTTGAAATATTAGAGCAAACTATCAAGTTTTGTGAAGTTAGTTTTTTTCCCTAATAATTTGGCCTCGAACTTTTTCTTTTTTATTTAAGTAGATGGTGGTAAATCATTTGTTTTCAAAAGTTACCATATACCAGTGTCTTTATTTCTGTTATGTTTTTGTTTATTTTTGTATGATTTTCATCTATTACTAAAGAAGAATTATAATTTCGTTGACAATGTTGATTTTAAACATAAACTGTAAGATTAAAATATGTCCAAATGATTTTTAAAGTAACTGGAATGAAATTATCTAAAAAATACTGAGAAGTCTCCTTTTGGTATAAGCGCAAAGACTTCTGTTTCCTCATATGTTGAATAATCCACATGTTGAAATAAAGTGAAGCTAGATCAGAGAGGAAAGACCGAATTAACAGTTTTTCTGAGTTAACTCAAGACGATTTTTCAAAATAAATCTTGTCCATCTCATTTTGATAGAATCTTATGACTTGATAAAAATATTCAATGGCTGTCTTCCAAGGTCAAATCCATGCCAACACATCCTGCTCCAACATCATCTTACCCAGGATGCAGATTTCTAATGATTGCATTCTAAAAGGAGAAAAGCAAAATGACTAAATGTTTTGGATTGAACCAGTTTGCTAGATAAAATGTACTTTTTCACTTTTTAAATAGGAGTCTTTCTGCCAGGCCATCTGACTGAAACAAAGAAGATGGGCACTGGAAGCAGCTGAGTCCCCTGTGCTCTGTTTCTTTTCTTTTCTTTTCTTTTCTTTTTTTTGGTAGCAGGGGTTACTGGGAATTGAACTCAGGACTGGACCATTGAGCCACATCCCCAGCCTATTTTGTATTTAATTTAGAGACAGGGTCTCACTGAGTTGCTTAGTGCCTTGCCATTGCTGAGGCTGTCTTTGAACTCACAATCCTCCTGCTTCAGCCTCCCAAGCCTCTGAGATTACAGGCATTTGCCACCATGCCTGGCTCCTTTGCTCTGTTTCTGAACCATCATTTCACAAGTGGGAAAAACTCTGAGCTCTGTTAGTGGAGAATATTTGTGCATCATGATTTTCCCCAAAGTACAATAAATTGAATGTGGCAAATCATAACTTAGAAATATAAAAGCACTTCTATTACTTTTGCTCCTTGCCTACTAAGTCAATCGTTCATGGCAAAGAGATCTATAACCTAAGGTGACTTTTTTAAGTGTATCAAGAGAAAGTAGTGGTCTTATCTTTGAAGTTGTTTCCTTTGGGATGGTCATAGATCCTGCTCCAGCTTAACCTGGATGTCTGTCACTTTGTTAGACATAACACTTATGAAAGTCTCTTAGGCACTCACTTTCTCAAGGAACAAAAATTATATAGCATGACAATCTAATTGTCATGCACACCTGTACCAAGATACATACCAATAGGGTGTAGGCTCTTACCCAATTGCACTAATGTCTTCCCTATTTTCATTGCATTTGCAAGATCTTTACACTAAGACAAAAAAAAAAAATAGGAAAGCAACATATAGGTGTTTCATGGATCTACTTATAACTTAACCAGCAAAGAACCAGCTTTGACACACCTAGATATTGCTTCTAAGACAACACTGAAAACAATTGAAAGGTATTTTATCAAAGTAAGTTACAGGATAGAAACACAATACACTTATGTTATTTTTAGACAAGTGAAGAATAATATCTTAGCATCCTCTTCATAGCAGAACATAGAACTCATTAAGCATGCCATTAAACAGAAATCTGTTGCTAGTAATAAAAATGGGTGCGAAGAAGCCCAGTGTGCCTGTCTGAAGCACGTCATGCAGTATGAGACCATGGGTAGAGGCACACAGTCCTCCCACATGCAGGAGCCAGGCCAGATCTGCCATTCCTCCCTAGCCTTGGAGTTCCCAGGAAAGCATGAAAACTGGGGAATACAATCAACATTTCAATACTGAAGTGTTGATGTTTCTGGTCTTTATCAAAAAACAATAAGAAAATATTGGCTTTTATTATTGGTCTTTAACATAAATTCTTAAAATTTTCTTTTTTATCTAACTTTTAAATATAAAAGAATAAAAAGAACTGGTAACATAAAGATAAAGGCTTCCTTTCCATTTTATTATTTTATTTGATTATAATATTTGCCTTGATTTTCATTTAAAAGTAGGGAAAAAAGCTTACATTTTAACTAAAAATGTCTCCAAACTAGTTATAATATTTTTGACTCATTGATAATTAACAGTATTACGTCCTCTGTTTTTAAAAATCTATTTACTATTATCTCTATGGCAAAAAGAGAAAAGGGACTAAAGCTAGTCAAGGGATTATTCTAAAACATCTCATTAATGTTATGAATCCTCAATAGTATCTGTACTTTTCGAAGGCATTTAAGAAGTTTCAGTGCTCATATTATTTGCTATCACATTTCCACTGTATTTGCCACAGTGGAGGCATATGGCCTATATAATATCAATTCTCCATCTAGAAGAACATGGATAACATCTACCTTCTTGGGCTCCCTTGTCTAAACAGTGAATTGCAGTAGCTGTGTTCTTGACTATAATAATGTTAAATAATCACATGTTCAATTACTTTCCATGATTTTGTGTAGCTGAAACCCTCGTTTTATTCTCCTTGCTCCATGATTTCCATTTCCACACTCCTCTTCATGTCTTTGTTACCTTCCGATTAAGTACCAGGTAGTGCTGCCAAGAAGCTCAAGGTCTAAGCCCAGATGTCTCCTGATGGCTTCATCTTTGCTCAGAACTGCTAACTTCCTGATCAATGAGAAATGGACTACAGCCCCATTAAGGAAACACCCAAACACCCTAAAGGGCAGTGAATATGTTCTCCATATTTCTTCCTGTGTCAGTGCTGAGAACAATGTGGGTCCTGCAACACATGGTAGGTAATTTTTGAATCAATAAATGAATGGAAGAGTGAAAAGGCCAGTTATGAGACATTGTCTAAATTTGTGTCTAATGAGGAAGGATGAAGTAAGAGGTAACTTCATTTTTTGGTCTCTAGACAATTATTCCAGAACTCTTTCCAATTACTCCACTCACATGTAGCAAAGCAGTTTGAAAGGCCTCTTTAATGCATTATAATTTGTCGGCTTATTTCTGCTCCAAAATGAGATATCTAATGTATTTATTTCCCTTGGCAGAGAACTGGTAGAAAATGGTACTTAGCAAAAACCAAGAATTTGAATTTAATGCAGCAAATAATTTAATTAGGAATAAAAGTTGTATGAAGAAAGACCAAAGATAGGGAATTCAAAGTAAAAGTACTTAAGGACTAAAGCTGCAAGCTAATAAATTTATCTGTAAGTATCTCTGTATCATCATAAATCAGGAAAATAATATTTAAGTATTGCACCAAATGTAAATAAAATTGGAAAAATAAAATGCCAAAATGCATAATTTGGGAGGCGACTTGAATTTCTAAAGAAAATAAAGCTTTTTGTTTTTATCAAGTAACTAAAGAAATGGCACAGACAAACAGAAAATGACAAACTGTAGTTTGTAGTGAGGCAATTTTCTTCAGGAAGAAGAGAACAGAGAAGAATGTCAGGTAGAAAGATGACAAGAACAAGGGCTTGTAAGACATGAAAGAACTAAATATTGTCAGTCAAAATGAATAAATATATAAGTCTAGCAAGAAAATATTCTAAACAAATGAGACTCAAATAGTGCAACTGCCAAAGGACTAATAAAAATTTTGAACTTATGAAGTTGTAAAGTAAAAGAAGCTTTTTCTTAAATAAGAAGGAATTGGAGAAATAATGACCCAAGTTTATATCTAGTTAATGATGAAAAGTCTACTGGTAAAGGTCAATGTATAATCAGTTAAGCCCAATAGTTCCTAATACAAAATTGGGTAAGCATTTGAGAGTTTTCATCAAAGGTAGCAGAGTATTGAAAAGTGCCACTATTGAGACAGGTAGTAGATTGGGGGATAATTATTCTTCTAGGTACAAAACAGCTGCAGAAAGCAGATTATAAGAGACTATTTTACCTTTATGTACCATAGAACAAGAGAAAGGTTGGAAGGTGTGAGCCATGAGATGAGTCAGTCACCATGTTAAAGTTGATCAAATAAATATGATTTTCTTAAGTGTTGGGAAGATTAAAAATGAGACAAGATAATGCCTGTAAATATTTAGAGATGAAAAGAATTAAAGTAAAAAACACATAATTAGATATATATAAAAAAGATGACAAATAGATCAAAGCTTAGCTCTACATGCTATGAGATCTAAGACTGAAGCCTCCTCTGTCAGTGAGGGGTAATCCTATTACATCTTAAGGTTATGGTGAGAATTAAGTCATATGGGTAAACATACAGAATTCAATAAATGCTTGCTTCCAGCATCTTCTTTTACCTATAGCCACAGAGTTTTATATATTTTGGATGTCTTTAAGGTATGACCACATAAAAATAGGAAAACTAAAATTTTTTGAGACCCAACAATGAACCTGGATCTGTGCTAAGTAGTTTAATAAGATTTTATAGAGTTTTTGTTTATGAAATTTACTATTTAAATAAAATGTAAAAATGCTATTATTGCAGGGCACAGGATAATGTAACGCGCATCATGCTCTTTGCTGGTTGTAGACCTGTTTCCGTCTTGAATTATCACTGTAACCACAGGAAGGTTACTTAAAATCTTCATAAGTTTTAGTTTTCTCATCCATAAAATGAGAGACATCAATGAACAAACTCTAAGTTGCTTCCCAAAGGTTAAAATGTTATGTGTAGCTTCCTATTGAGTAGGTTAGAAAACCTACTGGAATCTTCCATTTTAGATGTTCTGGAAGAATTTCTAAGTGGAAAATAAGAATTTTGTATTATTTTTGCCTTAAAGTTAAAATAGCTGCTTTGATGAAATGTGTACACAAACTACACTAAACATCAACTTAAGACTATACAGACAAAAAAAAAAAATACCAGGTAACGTTCAGCTTTAATAGCATATCTTACTCTCCAAATGAAATTCAGCAGTCATGCAAAGTAGAAATTCTCACTGAAGTTTTCTAAATTGTGAGATACAATGTTATTACAATTTTAAAAGAAAGCAAAAGCAATCCACTATTATTATGCAGATGACTTGCCTACAAATATGCAATTCGATTAGCTAAATGGGTACATGCTTCAGAGTCAGCAGAAAACAATGATCTGGTCTTTTGAGGACTATATCCTGCACCCCAAAAGTTACTGATTCTTAGTTTTACTTTTAATTCATCCAGGACCATGGGGGTAGGGACAGAGAGGAGATTGCAACATTCATAGTTAGTTACTGGGTGAAAGAACAGGAAAAAATGTCAGGGTGCTTCAGTGATCCATATATACATAGCAAGAGGGTCTCAAATTAAATTCAATTTCCAAGATGCTGTGAGAAAATCACACCATGAGCTTTTCCTCCTCTATAAGTCCCTTGATTCCTTCCTAATTCTCTGAATTCCATAAACTGAAAAGTTAATTTAAAAAAATGGGCTTTGAAAATATGTTTCCAATTTGTTAAAATCACCATCACCAAGTAATTATTTGTCAATCATTATATGTTCACATATAGAAAGATAATATTTAATGGATGCTTGAGAAAAAGTAAAAGGATAGATACATTTTCAAGAATGATAATAATGTCTAAATTGTAGACTCGTGATCTATAATATCATCATGGATGACTAAAGAATTACCCTCTATTCAGCAGTCTGCAACCTCTAAAAATAACTGTATTATAATGACATAGAATAATAGCTTATTTTAGAAATCGGACTAGGGCCATTCTATTCTATAGTACAATTTCCAAAATATCATAAGGTTATACTTAAAGCAGTACTAACAAGGAAATTCACTATTAATAAACTTTCAGCCTTTGGCTCACCTAAAATATGGTAAGACCAAACAAAGCCAAAACAAAAACAAAAAGCCTGTTAAGTGCCACTTAAAATGATAATCTTCTATAAAACTCTAAAATAATTTAATCAACTTGTATAATTGTGGGGAACAACATATTTTAGCTCTGTGTAGCACTTTTTCTCACAAAAAGAAGCTGAGATGTGGAGACCCACGACCAAGACAGGCACCCCATATTAATCTTGGCACAGCCCCACCTTATTTCCACTGACAGTAAACAAAGCAACTTTCCCTTTGCAGAGAGAGAATGGGAAAGTGAACAATGCTCATGATTTGGAGAACATAAACCTATCTGTTTGGCTAGGTATCTTCCACACTAAAGCATCCTGAGGTTGGGGATATGCAGAAGGAGATGGTGAAATTGGGAGAGGAATAGGCAACAGATTCAGAGAAGGAATTATGCAGAAGTTCACCTGCTGTTGTCACGATCAAGACATGGAGAGGTGCGGCTGCAATAGAATAGATACTTTAGCACAGAGAAGGAATGGATAAAGTGAAATATAAAGAATGAAATCAGAAGCGACTTTCAACTGAAATATATATATATAACTTATATACCAATACAGTATTCACTAAAAATTTTTTTTAAAAAGATGGAAATACAATGAGACAGCTCTATGCAAATGCTGAAAGAAAGACAAGGTGTGGGGGTTTTGTAGCTACTCCCAGTTAAGGAAACTACAGATGTTATAAAATCACTGGATGTAGATTTTGTAGCATTATTGAACATTGGTTCGTGGGAACACTTAAAGTGTCCAAGAAGCAATGACATGTCAAGGGGTATTATAATAAAAAATATACATTTGACTTGATGGACATAATTTTGACTCAAAAATTTTTTCATTCATACTTCTAAAACTTTTAGAACAATGATAATACATTTTGGGCTACCACGAAAGAAATGCAAACAGAAATGCATAATTTAAAATATAGCTTCAATGACAAACAGCATAAACTCTAAGGCAAATAGAAAACATTAATTACCTACCAGTCTGTAACAAAATATTATGCAAATGAATTCTTAGTACTTTTTTTTTTTTTTCAAATGACTGAATTCCCTGCTTTGGGGATTGTAGTCTTCTGCACTGGACCTAATGTTAAGTCCCACTCTATGGTTCCACCCTTCACTTCTCTTCTACCTGTGAATCTGCTTTTCCTGGAAACTTTCCATATGTTTTCAAATAGTTCACTTGTATTTTCAATACTTCATGACATACAGAAGTATACATGTTTAATGGACTAGAAATCCAATCTTACAAAACAGTTGTTTTGCTAGTTATAAAAAGTTTTCTTTATCCTCAAGAATTTGCCTATATGTATCTAAAAGAGACCATAGGGTGTGATAAAATACATGAACAAGTAAATCACCACTATAAGTACTTGGATAAACATTTCATGTTGTGACCTGAAAAACAGCCTTGGATTCCTTGCATTTCAAATACTCCATTATTTGAGCAAATGTCTTCAACACATTTTTTAAAAATAGACTTTATTCCTTAGAGTAATGTGACCTTCACAGCAAAACCATCTTCAAAATGTTTTTATGGAGTTCTTTTAAAATATCATCATCTTATGGACTCATATTATTCACATTATCTTGTAGCACAACATCATAAGTGGGCATTTAATTCATGGCTCCTGCTATTAAATCACTACAAAAGTAAAACTTTGGGAATAACAATATTTAAAATGAATTTTGGACATGGTTTCTGATTCTTATCTATAATCCTTCAATTCTCTGGTTCTAGGAGTACTTTCCTTTTTACTCATCATTATTGAGAAGCTTGGTATTAGAATACAATGTTATGGTTTTGAATAATTTATAATGCTGAAATTTTAATGACATCATTTTACACTTAAAATATATAAGTAAATTTGGGTAAAATTTGGATAATAAAATTGTGACTTACATCTACTAGGCATTAATAAATTGAATAAGAATTTGTAAAATTCGAATTCTTGCCCAAAGTTATATTGGTATGTGACCATGTCTCAGTGCTAGAAATATTAGTTGATTATCTTCCGTGTGAATCAGTAGGGCAACTCTTTGAAGAATAACAAAAAATGCTGCTGTCAGGTTTTTTGCCAGATAGTAACTATAACTATTGGGCAGGGAAGTGTTTAAATCATTGTACCTATTCTCCTCTGCTATGGGTCATCAGTCTTTGAAAATGTTAAGTATAGAGGTAAAATAAAATCACCAATACTACTTATTGGTAGAAGCTGGATCTTTTACTAATCTAAAATAACTCTATTAGACCATTATATATACAAGTCAGTGACATGTGCATTAGAAACTACTTTCTCTTTATTAAAAAAAAAAAAAAGCACTCTTTTTCTTCCATTTTTAGATTTTGAAGTTGTTTAGGAATTTACCCAACGAATTAAATGGAAACTCAGTTCCTTAAAAGAACTACTGCTCAGGAATCTTGTCTACAAGATTATAAGAAATCAATGTTACATGATACAGTATGAGGAATATTATTCGTATACATTAATATCATGGTAGTTTTCAAATACAACAATACTCGGAACCAAATTTTCCAGACCAGCCATGCTTTTAGAGTCATCTGTAGCTTTGTGTTTGTTCAAATACTACAGTAGAAACACTAATAGATAGTAAATTACCTAATGAAAAATTACAAGTCAAATATCACCATTATAAATTGAACCGTGTTGGTATTGTCATTTAGAGGATTCAGAACATGTTTTGCTTAACTGATGCAATTTGTGAAAAGTTTGGAACATGGGATGGGGACTGCATAAGTACTAGTATCTATAATCTTTTGCACACTCTAGTGTGTATATGTTTCTGGATTCATGCATATCATCTTTTATTCCTCTGGTTCTATGCCTCTTTTCCTTCCTACATATCATTGTTGAGAAACTTAGTTGCAGAATGCAGTGTTATGGTTTTCCAATATTTTATACCTGAGAGATTTTAGTTATCTCATTTCATACTTAAAAGTATGTAAGGAAATTTAGATTAGGTTTAATTTGTTTTTTTTATTCCTCCATACAATTCCTTTATCAGAAACTAGCTTTTGTTATTTAATAAAGAAAATGTGATGATTGTTTTGAATATCTAAAGAACCAATTTTATATTCTATGGTCTTTATTTCTTAGAAGGTTAGACTAAGAAGTTCAAAATGTTTAACTACAATACCATGGAATACTTTCCCAAAAGGAGATTATCTTAGAGCAAAAGAAGAAAAGATCTGTTTCTCCAAATAGCCCTGGGGATTATGAATAAAAAGTTTGGGATAATAATTTAAACCATAATATTACTGGCAATTAAATAAAATAGGGGTAGAGCTTTTTAAAAAGTAATTAAATGATAAAATATGGGGATTTTATATATAATTATGACATTACCACACGATTTGAAGCTACTAAAAAATTGGAATAATGTTACAATTTAAAACTTCTTAAAGAATTTATATTATACCTAATTCAATTCTTACACCTGAAGAATGATTTTATGTTTGAAAGTATGACTCAAGTCCTGCTTCTTAATAAGTTAATATAAATAGACAATATTGCTTAAATTGTTTCATACTTATTCTGGATGACTCTAAAAAGACAACTGAGAAGCTTACAGTTGCATGCAAACTCGCCCTTTTATTTATATCCCTACTTCAAGCAGTAATGAATTTATCTGCATATCTATGTGATTCAAACTTCTGTAAAGGAGGCCATTGGGATGTTCTGGTTAGTTAGCAAGCTGTTTGGCACAATCCTGCTAGTTATTTTAAAACAATAATCCGTTTTCTATGTTGAATTCAACCTTTTTGCTATTCTATTTGTATAGACTGAGTCCATGTTGGAGGAAGCAATGTTATTCACAGGTTTTGATGAAGGTCACCTGCACTGTGAGTGAGCCATCAGCTACAGCTATTGGACAAAGCTGTTATTTTCACTCTCATCTCTTTTTACCTCTTGATCTGGATACATAATATTGATTTACTCACCCTGAATGAATAGGGCTGGAAGAAAGAGCCACGTTGTCTAAATTCTCAGTGCCCCAGCTTAGACGATAAGAATTCCTTTCTGCCTCCTTGGCTAGGGTTGACACCTAAACACAAAGAACCTTGGATTTCATAAAAATACTTTGCTTCAATTAAAGTAAAATAGGGTGAAATTTTTAAAATGGCAACACAAGGAGGTGGTAATTCCTGGAAAGATGTTCATTTAACAACATAAGACCAATGCATTTACAATGAAATCTTTTATAATGCATTCCCCTTTTAAAATTATATTATTGACATAAGATCACTTTAGTATAATGTTCTTTGAAGGGATTAAGTGTCCATCTATTTCCCTTTATCCTATTCACTAAAAGTGATAAAATCATACCTAATATAAAACTATTTTTAAATAAGAATATTTCAGCATAAACTGTAAGCCTTTTCTCATAGCTATCAATTTTAAATACTGAAAGATATATAAATTTGAAGCTAGCTACTACTCATCTTATACCATACATGCATCCTAAATTGTCGACTGAGTTAAGGCTTTCTTTGTTTGAAGACTAAAAGCTTTCTCAGGACATTTCTAGCCTCAGGTAATGTTTAAAAGCTAATCAGAAAGCAAAGACAGAAAAGCAAAAGGTCACATACCTGGTGACTGGGGATCACAACTGTGTCGTCAATCATGGCACTGTCCCTCAGGTAGGATGCATGGCTCAGAGTGTGAGACCTGTCGGAACTGAAGGATCGAAGGCTGGTAGGTTGGCAGGAGGCCATGGTGATATACCAACAGCAGTAGTAGGGTTGGGAGGATGAAATGATGAGCCGAGCAGGGAAGTGAAAAAAAGCGTGCTATTAGCTAACCGTGCAACTTCCAGGGGGACAAGGTCTCTGCGTTGCCCTACCTCTCTGTCCAGCAGCTAAACTAACACCTCCTCGGACTGGTTCCTACTGCTCAATGACCAGGGCACAAGGGAATCCAGAAGTTAAAATGTGATACTCTTAATCTGATTCATTTTCTTCCCAGAAATCTTTGAAACCAGCAACTGTAGTTTACTTGCTGCCAGTACAAGAAAGTCACACAGGAACTAATTCTAGGATAAACTGCTGCAAACTGTGTGAAATGTTAATCTCCCTGCCACTAAGAAAAATCTTGGGAGGGAAAGTAGGCAGCCCCTCAGAGAGAAGAACAAAATGAAAGCGCAGGTTTCATTTTCGCTTATTATTTTCCATTCTCTGCATGCCTCTTTCTCTTCCTCTCTAAACTGAATGACTGAATGTTGGTCCACTCCCCTGGAAGGTACAGAGTGAAATGAACTGAGGTCAGATGCATGCTTCCTGTGGAAGTGGAGTTCCTCCTGTTTTTCCTCTGGTGACTCCAACAATGCTATTATTTCAGAGGAGAGCACTGTCCCCTTGGCGTGTCCTGCGTGTGGTGAGTGAAGCACCAATGAAGTGTTGGTTGCCGTGGGGATGAGATGCAAGAGCACAAGAAACCGTTTCTAAGCACCAGCCCGGAGCACAGACACGCTTGCCAGCACAAAGACAAATTGCTAATGGACATTGATGAAACTGAGGTTGGGCTTCAAAATGGGATTTAGGCCTTGAAAAATGATCTACTTTTGATAAATCTGCAGCTCAAAGTTCTGAGTTATATACTCAAACAAAACTTAACATTTGCATATAGACAATTTAATTCTTCAATCAGTTGCATATAATAAATATCTTAATTTGGATGTTTTAAATACTATAGCTTATTATGTGAATTTAGTCCATAAATTAAAGACCTGCATTCAAAATATTAGCCCAAAGCCCATATTCGGGGAGGAGAGAAGGTGTGCAATTCTCATAATATTGATAGAAGCAAACTTTCATTTACTTGTAGCTAGTTGGCATTTGACCAGTGAAGCACAGTAGAATTATGGACTGGATAGCAAGGTAGCAAATATATTAGTAGGAATTATTTTAATTTTGAAAATACACCTAATTTTGTAAGCCATATACTATTTTCCTTATGAGACATCACAACTTCAATTGTCTTTGAAGAAATCCTCTCTTGAGAGGTTATTCATAGTAATCTAAGACCTCTCCTCTCCTATTTTATAGGTAGGTTTATGAACCTCAAATCTTGAAAGAGTGAGTGACATGAATCAAAGGAATTGATAATATGAACCTATGCATGTATCCCTACATGAATCTATGTGTTTATAATAAAATAAAATCTAATATAATTTGAGAATTAGCTTTTTATTTTTTAATAGGCTCTTGGAGGCAGATTGAGTCTCCTGACAACGCTAAAGCTGCCCCTGCTTTAGGGTTTTAAATCCCAGCAGCTGGAGACAGCATATTTTACATCTGGCTTATAGTTGTGCTATTGGCTTTTGATGGTGTACTTCATCAACAGGCTATAGGCTGTTGTGATTAGTCTTCACTTGATCTTGAATTTGAAGCTGGGTCAGAGATTAAATTATTGAGAAAGGGGTCTTTAATCTCAGAAAATGCTTTTCTCAATTGGTAGAATGAACAACCCCTCCCCCCTACCCCAACCCCTGCCTGCTTTAAACCACAAAGATAGCAAAGATCCACTTGGATGTATTTTGTACCAGACAGTGCTAGATAAGCAGTTCCAAAATACTATTCTTCTCAACTTTGTTTTGAAGTTAGCCAAGAAAGGGAAAACAGCAGAGAAACCAACCCATAGAAATGAATGGGTTGTCTACGGGTTCAACTGCTTTCTCCCATTAAGTGGTTTCTATTGGGCTGAGATTTGTTAATTACATAATCTCTCTCCAAAATTTTAGATTTCAAAGATTCAGATTTTGACTTTATACATTTAAAGCTGCTTAATGTATATTCATCAACATTACAAAAGGAACAAGAGGCACACAGTCCATGACTAGAACTAGTCTGATCATAGAGAAAAATTTACTCTTCTCCATGGAAGGGTAACTTTTTACTGTCACCAGGCAAAACCAACCCTTGAATGTAGCATAAGAATAGCAGAAACACTGATCTCAAGGGTAAATGGAATTTAGCTGAATGGTAAATAAAGCTACCCTAAGTAAAACCTAGTGACATGCCTGTCAGCATTATACCTGTCTAAATTTTCAAAAAAGTCACCAGGTCTCAATTGTCACTCTCAAGGAGTGGTGTTGACGAGGTGAACTCTTCTGTCTGTTTCAGGGATGTGGTACGAAAGATCCCACTGGGCTATGAATATAAAGCCACATCAGCACTTAGTATCAGTATTTGAGGTGGATTTTTGATATCCAGTTACCTGATATCTAGGTCTCTCAATTGGTTTTGAACTGGGAAGAGTAAAGAGATACTGCTGCTGTTCTTGTTATAATTGTTTTTTTGTCTTTCCTAAAAGACAGGAAGAAGGATAAAGGAGACAAAATGACATGGGTAAAGAAGGCAAAATGTTAGGATATGTGGACAGAATGATAAAAATTGGACAGAGAGAATGTGGCAAAATGAGGAAGATGAAATGTGTCTCTAAGTATTTCTGTGTAAGAATTTTATTCTAGCTCACTCTGTTTACTGCCCTCTGCTATACTAATTGGTTATTTAATGAATGTTTATAGGTTCTAATTGTTTTGTTTTTATGCTGTTATAGAATCTATTTAAATGAAATGACTATGATTGAAATAGTCTAAGGACAGAAAAATTATTTTCTCTGAATAACCAGCACAAAGCTCTGAAATAAGTCAAGTCCCTGGATCAGAAATTGTCCAGGGACTTGATTTTTTTTAATTAAATTGTTTTAATGTATTTAAAACATTACAGACAAGTTTCAGTATTTTGCAATAGAATTCCTCTTTTTTTCCATTAAGTCAGAGGGCCTCTGTTCAGTTAAAACATATATATAATTATATCTCCATAGAAGGGTACATTTTTACTGTCCATCTGTTTGCCAAGAATTTGCTATGGATTCAATTTATACTTTTTTCACTATGGTGAAATTGCTTTAGGGACTTATATTTGCTAATATGAAAGTATAAGTTCATTGAAAAGTATAATAATTACTCTTTGTAAACTACAATATTTATTAGAAATTTGATTTGTGGAATTTCAAACCTTATTTAACAAGTGAATATCCAAAAAATCTAATTTGCTTGCTTTAATAAATGGAGAAGCTTCTGCAGTTCATTGTTATTTGGTGTTTTATATTGGATTTGGACAGAATTTAAAATTTGTAAGCACTAATAAAATAAAGTGGAAGCAAAATCTAACTCCTCAAGGCTTATCTGGATTTTTGTTCAACATAAATGAAATTGCGTATTTTTTATTATTTTGCATCTCTGTTCATTTTAGGCATCACAATCCTTTTTCTGTCTTCTCCAAGCACACACAGGCTGATTGGGTTAGTTTAGAGGAAGCAATGCTCATGTTTTGTCAACCACAAGGTGGAGCTGTGACGGTTAAAGTCACACTTGGGTCTGTACCTCACTTTATTCCAGTAATAGATTCATCTCTCTCTAGCTCAAACAGTTTTTCAATTTAGTCCAAAAAAATCTTACTTCGAGAATAGATCCATAATTCTAGAATATAAGCACCTCTTGCCAACATACATATACACACATACACACACATTGAGCAGTGAGCAGGGAGATGTGGATGAAACCAGGAAGGCCATGTTCTCATGCTGTGTAATACCTACCTGGGCATGGTACTATTGAGAGCATACCAAATAAAGAAATAATGAAAAGGAAAAATGGTTACAAAAAAAAGAGAGGTGACTGAATTTGAATTGCCTGAGCAAAATTTTAAAAATTAAAGAAAGTAAAATGAACAAGAAAACCATGAAAATGAGATGCTGCCTATGGTTCCATGTAAGAGACTGTGAACACATCTGGAACTCTAGATAGGCACATGTAGACCTGAAGGACAATCATGTGTTGGTTTGCTTCCTGTCCCTGACTTTACATGCTAATAAGAATTCAGTTTAAGGAAAGGTATCAAACCATCCACCCCTGTTTTATAAAACATATATTCTACATACTTTCTCAGGTTAAAGCACTTTTAAAAGAAGGGAAAATGACTGAATGAAGTATGCATTTTTAATAAAAGAGACTATGCTGAAAATAAAGATTTTTCTGGCTTATAGTAATATAGTTTTTCATAGATTATGATGAATTGATGCACAACTATAAATATCTCCTAATTCTCCTTTCATTGAAATTCGAAAAATCTCAGGTTATAAATTCCAAATCTATCAATGTTTCAAAATATGTTCCAATTAATGTATGATACACTGACCCCCATCATCCCACCCACAATCTCCCAATGGGCTCCTCCTTCTGTATCCTGATCCCAAGGGCCATCCTGTATCTAAGCCACTAAGGCCAAGCAGTCAACTTACCAACCACTTCAACCACCCCATGGAATCCATCACCAAATCTGGCTAGTTCATATTCTGGCTAAGACATATTCCAAGATATGTCTTAGATTTTTTCATTTTTCATGACCATCTCCAAGGTTAGAGTTGAAGCCCTCTCATAACAATCATGGTTAATAACCCTGCAGTAGGCTCTCAGGTGACTACAACTGAGAGATCTAGTCCTTCAGATAAACAACTCTCCTCTAAAATTCATCCTCCATCTCATTAGCAGAAGGAGTCCTCTAAAAATATAAATATGATTCCTTTTTTACGCTTATTCTCTAGGAATGCTACACTTCTTTGATGTTCACACACATTGTCAGCCTTTGCCTGTGACCTATTAAGGCTTCAGATGCCCAGCTTACCTTTCCCCACCATCATTATCATCATTGCATCTCAGTTTGGGTTCTTCTCCAGGCAGCTCAAGCCACAGGGCTCCAGTGGCCCTCTTGGTCTACTGCTAGTCTACTGTCTCCCACCCTGTTAGGCTATGGGTTTAGCAAGCATATCTTAATCACGTTGGCACCTTCAGTACTTACTACAAAGCCTGACACAAATACATTTTATTGTATCTACATTAGAATGTCAATTTTAAAAAAAAAGGTATGAGAGCACTGATATTCAAAGAAAAAGCCCAAGAAAAACTCAGTTTGGCCAGTTATTTCCTTAGAATTGACTATTCTTTAGTGTAATTATTTCTTAAACTGTAAGTATATGGACTATTCATAAAATAGCTTAGAACAGAGGTAACTTTAATGTAATAGACAAAGCCAGGTGGGGGATGCACATCTGTAATCCAAGCCACATAGAAGACTGATTTAGGAGGATTGCAAGTTAAAGAGCACCTTCAGAAACTTAGCAAGACCCACAGCAACTTAATGAGACCCTGCCTGTCTCAAAATAAAATAAATGGGCTAGGGGTATGAAATATAAATATATATAAAATATATAAACCAAGGTGTTAGAGTACCCCTGGTTTCAATTCTCAGTACCGTGATAAATAGATAGATATATAGTCAGATAGGAGGAAACATGAGAGTGTTGATTAGGAAATAGAACTACATGGACAATGATATGCTTGACCTACATTAGTAGTCATGCTTTTGATGAGGTATTCCAGATGTTTTTTTGTTTATTTTTGGTACTGGGGAGTGAATCAAGGGGCACTTAACCACTGAGCCACATCCCCAGTCCTTCTTTGTATTTTATTTAGAGACAGGGTCTCACTGAATTGCTTAGGGTCTCGCTAAATTGCTGAGGCTGGCTTTAAACTGTGATCCTCCTGCCTCAGTCTCCCAAGTCGCTGGGATTACAGGTGTGCACCACCATACCCAGCTCCAGTGTTCTTAATCAGCTTGCCCCAGAAAGTAACAAGTACTAGTTTTACCAGTAATAAGCAAAAATAACACAGAGCATATATTTCAGATATTATATGAACCTCTCCAAATTTTTCTTTTTTAAAATTTTTTAAAAGTTATAGATGGACACAATATCTTTATTTATTTTTATGTGGTGCTGAGGATTAAACCCAGTGTTTCTCATGTGCAAGGCAAGCACTGTACTACTGAGCTACAGCCCCAGCCCTCCAGATTTTTCTATAAAAGTGAGGCTCCTTAAGGTTTTGCTCAGATAGTTTCTAATGTACCTCGGTTTTCCCAAGATCTATTCAGTTTTGTTTGTTTGTTTGTTTTATGAAAAAGCTAATTCCAGGCACGGTTTTCTTTTGAATCCTTTTAATTATTCTTCATAACATACTCTTGTTCACAGAAACTATGATTAATAAAAAAAAAGGGGGGGGGATTTAGAGATATCTATAGATGCCACTTGGTAAGAGGCTCTATATGCAAAATGGCCCCTTGGATTTACCAAGAGGAAAAGAAGTAGCCGATGGTCAAACACACCATTAAAGGCTCTTATTTATCACAGTTTTGCTTCTTAGTAGTTGTTTGATTTTACCAAGTTACTTAATTTCTCTTGGCCTTAGTGTCTGTTCTTGAAAATGGACACTTCTTTTTTGCGGGGCGGGGGTACCAGGGATTGAACTCAGGGGCACCAGACCACTGAGCCACATCCCCAACCCTATTTTGTATTTTATTTAGAGACAGGGTCTCATTGAGCTGCTTAGCATCTCACCATTGCTGAGGCTGGCTTTGAACTCACGATCCTCTAGCCTCAGTCTCCAGAGCCACTGGGATTACAGGCATGTGCCACCACGCCCAGCAAACGGACACTTCTTTAAAGTTGTTACAGAACTGAATGAGATGAAATACTAGCTGCTGAAAATGGTGAAGTGCCCATTAAGTGTTCAATAATTGCATCTACTTTTTTATCATCATAAAAATGTGTTGCACACACTTTCAATGGACATCAAGTTTTGCGTGAATACCTGTCAGATCGTCCTCCCTCCAAGCTGTATCGCAGGTAATTCATGCCGTCCAGGAATTGACTGCTGGGTAGGGAGTCATCACCCAGTTCTTTGAGGTCCTCAGGCCTTAGGTATTCTCCCCCATCACCTGTCATGGTGTCATCCCCTTGAAACAAGCAGAGGAAGATGGAGGAATTTATTTGTTGGATGCAGTATCAACTACAAATTATGACTGTGATTGCAGAATGCATTCCATAAACAGCCCTGACATACATGAAACACTGCACTCTAGCAGAACACAGAGGCATGCAGACACTTGAAAAAGGCTAAAACATACTAAAATATATAAAGAATAAATAATTACCTGAATTATAATTCTTTTCAAGCCCGTCAATTTGCTTTATCAGGACAACTGGGTTTTAGCTTATATTGTTTAGCTTAATAATTAATCCAATGCATAGACTACTTGGCTTCTATCTGTAGTTTCAATAATTTTATACATAATGTCCAGCCTTAATAGTTTCTTCATACATTTGACAATATGCTTTAAAAATGTCTATTCCTCTCAAATATGTGATATTTTAAGTGGAATAATGAATTTATAGGATTAATAAAATGCATACATTAGGGGAAAGAACACTTGAATAAAGTGAGAAAAAAATCTAAGTTGAATTCTAAGAATAGGTCTAACGAAACACACTATATAGTCTGGCTTGGGTACAAGCCTAAATTATTTTCAGTGAGTTTTGCTAATGTTTGAGAGGACAACATATGCACTTATTTGTGAAAAAGTGATGGATTGGTAGACTGCAGGACTGTCACATAACACAGGCTATCCATTGGGGATTGCTTGACAAAAAGCCAAATGTCCACTGGTACATTCTCACTCTCTTTTTCTTTCTTTTCCTCATTCTACTATCCCACCCCCAAGAATCCACTGCAATTTTGCCTTGCTTTCTAACACAACATTCCTAATATTACCCACAAATAGGACATCCCCTCCCTCTGCCACATCAATTTGGTTTTGCATTTCAGCTTGATTCTCCCAATCTGCCAGTTCTCAGTTCACTCTCTCAGAAGTCCCGGTGGTGACGAGGAACAAAAGCAACTCAAAATAAGCTTTAATTTTCTTGGTTCTTAAAATTCTTGAAAATTAGCCGGGTGTGGTAACACATACCTGTAATCCCAGCAATCCAGGAAGACTGAGGCAGGAGGATGGCAAGTTTGAGGTATGCCTCAGCAATTTAGTAAGGCCCTAAACAACTTAACAAGACTGCCTCAAAATAAAAAATAAAAAGGGCTGGGATGTGGCTCAATAGCTAAGCACCCCTAGGTTCAATCACCAGTCCAAAAAAGAAAAGAAAATACCAAAAACTCCTTACTCAAATAGGTCTTGAATTTCCAATTTCTTTATTCCACCCATCTTTCCCTCTTATCATGTCTTTGTGGAGAGAATAAGGTTAAAAAATGTGATGAAAAGAAAAGGGGAGAAAGAAAGAGAAAAGAGTCTAGCTGGCAGGCGCAAAATGCAGCCTCATGGTTTCATCTTGAAGGTTATGCAAAAGAACCCCAGGACCTAACCCTTGCCTTCTCTCTTATGAATACGGAATCTTGTTAGAAGACAGAAAGCAAGAAACTTAAGAGCACATTTTTAATCAAACGCATCAAATTTTTTTGCCTGTAGTAACAAATCAAGGCATAAAATTTAAAAACCTCTGATTATACTGAGTTAATGAGACACTGGATTTCCTTTGCATTCTCCCTCATTCTCTACATTTTGAGATTTTGTCATGGTGCTTTCTACCTAACAGCTGCTATGTTTAGTGTTATTAAAAACCAGCTGGTTATGGTGTCACACATGTGTAATATCAGCAACTTGGGAGGTTGAGGCAGGAGGATTGCAAGTTCAAAGCCAGCCTCAGCAGCTTAACAAAGCCCTAAGCAAATTAGTGAAACCCTATCTCAAAATAAAAAATATATATATAAAAATAAAAAGGGCTGGGGATGTAGCTCAGTGTTAAGGCAGCCCTAGGTTTGATGTCCAGTACAAAAAAAAAAAAAATACAAAAAGAAACTTCACAGTTTTTTTTTTTTTTTTT